AAATGAGGACCGCAGTCATCTTCCGAGATGTCCCGAAAATGTTGCTGCAACAATTCTTCTTTTTCTTTTTACGCAAGTTTTAGCCACAGCACCTTGTGTTTCTGCAATGCTGTATTTTTTTAGGGTACTTGTAATTGAATCATTATCTCGGCTCTTTATGATCTGTTTTCACTTTTGTATGAAATTTTTTATGCGTTGATTTATTTTCAGATTTCATTAATTATAAATCTTGAATATTGTTTGGATTAATTATAACTTGTTGTCATATCAATTGAATTAATTATAAATTGAGCGAAAAAAATTATTACTTACACTAGTAACTTAAAAAAAAACACATATCTATACACCGTCAAAAAAACCAAACAAATCAAGTGCAACGAATCGAAACCCAAACCGAATGCTATATTTCCGTCGTCACAGTGAATGAGAGAGCGAGAGAGAGAGAGATATACAGACAGACAGACAGAGATAGCCGTCATCACTGTGGTCGTTGGTACCGACATCGCTTTCCTCTCTATTCGTCCCGCAGCATCAGCGAGAGAGATAGAGAGATGCGCTTATGTGGCACGATGTCGTAAGCGCGCGCTTACAGCTAATGTTATTGCATTCATTGTCATCGTCAACGGGAATTTTGTATTCATGAAGCGGACGCATAATGTAACCCAATCGACTTTCACTCTTCAAGTTCGTCTGCTTTTTACGGTTTTTTTTTTCAAACTTTCTGATACAGAATAAAAATTAATGAAATAAGATAAAAAATTGCATCGATAAAATCCATACGGAAAATAAAGAATACATGTTGTTATGATTGCGAAAAAGACTCTTTCTCTAGACTTTATACAATGAATAGTTAGAAAGCATATTTTGTATCAGTAATGGTGGTTCCGAGACTTTTACTTTTTAATGCTTTCTCGTAATGACCATAAGCAAATGAGGATGTTTAATTGGAAAACGTGAACACTCAGAAACAAAGAGAAAAAATCTATTCCAAATAAATTCAATAGAATATCTTTTTTGCTCGATATATTAAAAAATTGCCTTGCATGAAAATATTTATCACGTATCACACGGCATATATTCAGTAATCGGATGTAGCTTTATAAGAATTAAAAAATTCAACTATAAAAATTAAAAAAAAAACTTATGAAACATCGCATAAGGTGATATGCACAAAATTTGTTAGAGCGAAATTCACGCAGCTGTTTCGTATAGAGCAATCTAGTCGTCTAGTAATTCCGCGACAGTGGTGGCGGCCACCTCCCCCCCCCCTCTCTCCCTCTCTCCCTCTCTCCCTCTCTCCCTCTCTCTCCCTCTCTCTTCCTCTCTCTTCCTCTCTCTCTCTCACTCTCTCTATGCGCGCACATGTACGCATTGAATTCTCGCATAACCTGCGACTTTAGGACAATAACGCTCGACGTGAGTTCGAAGGACACGATAACGAATATATACGCATTCTCGGAGTTTCGGCCCCCTTTCTGAAAAATATATATAACGCGTGGTATGGAGAGTTTGTATCAACTGCCAAATCCCGTATTCATATTTCCGTCGTTTGATTGAAATTCCCATTTTTTGCCGTTGTAACAAAAGGGAAGGGCGACAAACTTTCAGGCGGGGCAGTTCTATGTTTCTAGGTTATCTGAAAAATGCACTTGAAATACAGCTATACTTATTCATGTCTGTATTCATTGTCACCTTTTTGGAATTGTCAATACTCTACATCAATCAAGTGAGGGATAGATTAAAGTTGATCAAAAATTCGAGTCAATGAAGTGCACGAGCTTTTGTGTTTTACGACGACAAGTATTGAAATTATACCTTAGCTGTGTGTCAGGGAATTGTGTGGCTAATGAAAATCAATATAGTTTCTACGGATAGTTATATGTAAGATTAATGTACTGATACTTGATGATCATGCAAGAAGATAATATTGTAAATGTGCGAAATAATTATCTCTGAAAAATGAAGCGGTTGACTTTTAAAAAGCAATACAATAACTATAAAGCTTGCAAGTAAAAAAATCTTTATACGAATATTTTTTATATATAACATAGTACTTGTAACTAAAAAGCTTTAAATTAAAATTCTTTAGTATTTTAAAAATTTGAACGCGAATGAAACTCGATGTAATTTCACAAAGCTTTTGGAATTTCTCGAATAATGTTCTCTCTAAAATGTATTTTCGGACAAAAGCCATCAAGGGTGAACAGTATGATATTCCCAACGCAAAAATGTTGCAAATATTTCAGAAAAAAATAAAACATCCGTCAGTAATGCTTTTTTATTATCTAATAGTCTTTCGAAATGTTTTTTTTTTAATTGTCGGCCAAGCTCGTCGTCGCTAGCGCGTGGACGAGATTAAAACGGAGCCGAAATAAACGAGCAAAAAAAGTTCCGTTTGTCACTCGTGCGTATACACACTGAGAGAAAGAAAAAACATACTACGAAGCTTTTTTCTAGAAGCTTTTGTTCTTTTTTTCCACAACGACGGCTTTTTTCGTTTAATTGAAAAAAATGTAAAAATCGAGCGACAGCCATTATTCTTTATATAAAATCGATAACATTGAGTTATTTAGTTTTCAACTGAAGACTACGTTTGTTTCACTTTCACTTGTTAATTTGACCAGCTATCGGCTTGCCAAACAGCTTGTTTTGGATAGAGTTTTCATTCTTGTTTTCTATCTCTATACACTAACACATATTTGTAATGAAGTAAGAATAATGCGGTAAGGCAATATTGTTAATTACATTAAGGTTATGCAGCAGGTATACTTGTTAAATAATTTTATTGAGATCTCAAATTAATTAATTATATAACTGTAGGCAATTAAATTAAATCCTTAATCAATCATAACTAAAGATATATCTATACGCGTAATAAATTAACTGCACTCGTGTACGCAAATCTCATATTTGAAAACTTTAAAAAAACAATACTTTCCAATATAATACTATATCAATATGACGCATACATCGTTGTGTGTAGGCAGACCGGATGGAAAAAAACATACAGGTCTCACGCGTAGAAGTTAATTGTTGGTAATTGCGTGAAGTTGTATCTAGGTTGGACACCTCCGACAACATACGGCGATGGATTTGATAAAAGCGGAGGAAAAGAGGTGTCGGCGCTTAAAGACCCCCATAGCTGTCGGAGCGTGAAAAAATCAAGAACAACGCAGTGCATTTTACGTACTTCATTGTCGTGTCCGTCACACGTCTCAAACGCACCGCGTTGTTTATATAAACGAGCTCTATAGTGTGATTATTGTGTCTATTGATTTAACCGATTTTTTGTGGTAATTACTTTTTTATTGTGTTTTATTAAGATGTTTTTACTATGATTAGATTGTGTTGTTACTAACTATTTATTTTCTACAGCAAAGTTATATTGATAAAATCCTTTTTGATGTAGTTGGTATAATTGGGTTGATAGTTTTGAATATAAGTATAGAAAGGTTGGATCTACAGAAAACTATGCTCATAAAAAGTCCATATTTTAATGGACATAGTAATAATTATCAAGATTCTAAAGATAAAAAGTCACGTTATGTAAATTGGATGCACTTTTTTTATTAAAATAAAATGTTACTTTCTTATAAGCATTAGCTTATAGTTTCATTTTTCACAAGCAGATCACGAGTATCATTACGTTTTACACTAAATTTTGACAATCTCTGTAATATAGTAGAACTCTAGAATATAAATCATGTCAACGATAATAATAACGATTAAAGAATACTACGGTTTCATCTATACAATAATGTATTTTTCAGATGGTAATCAGAAAAAAAGCGATTATATCGATCATTTAAATTCGAACTTACTGCACAACTAAAATGAGAACCAATGATTCATGCCTAATAAAATCATACCGCACTTCTATAAAAAAGAATGTTAAGATTAATCACATAAGAAAACTCATTTACGATGCGCATCGAAACATATCTCGCCTTCGAACGCACAACAATATAATCGTGCTCGAAAACTCACTGACACGATTCTTCATATACGGGTGGCGCCAGATCTACTGGCCGTTACTTTCGATCTCGCTTGGCTTCTATATTAGGTGAGTAAAAGTGAATCCGAGAGAGCTTCATTGTAAATGATTCTATCGAGTGTTTTTTTCCCCAAGGAACGTGGAAAGTGACTATAACCTACAGATCGAAAGATGATGATGTACGTTCACTACTGCCGTTTGCTTGATTTCAGAGGATACGACCGAGAAATTAAAATGAAACGCTGTATCCATATAATATCTTGTGACTTCATCTATTCCATTTTGTTTCAAAACTTTTATGCTTTCGATCGACTTGATGCTTTTATTATTTATAAATTCTCTGATGGAATATTTCTTTTGTTCATTGGTTTTCTTAAGCGATATATATCGCTCAAGAAATTACTCGAATAATTTTTTAACTTAATGCAGTACACGAACAAAAGCTTCGTTTACACTATCATCAAGTGTAGCATCAAAAAATTGCAAAGGGCATCATTTCAAGAAACATCAAAAAGAACAATTCGTTCTAGTAAGTATATTTTTCATGCAGCATTTATTTGAGGAAACATTCGCTATATAATGTATGAACGTTAATTTAATCCAATGATACTTGTATCTCAATATGAAATTTTTGTATAACTATACTCGATTGAAAGCATGTATTTGATTCATTTATGAAGCATTTAACGAAAGTAACCTAATTGCTGTGTGTACTGTAATTGCGCAATGAAATGTCATGAAACACCACCAATGCACTTGCAACAAATTCATACTATGATTCAAAACGTAAACAAACCTCATAAGAAAAAAAGAAATTTCGGATAATACCACATACGTGCATATGGAGAGTGGATTGGAAACCGAGTAGGAGAAAGAGAAAGAGATGCACAGAGCAAAGGAGGGCCTTGCAAGTAACATGGTGGGAGAAGAAGAGGACTGACAAAGAGCGCGAAGCCTATCTGGTGAACTGGTTGAAAGTTTGGGCGACAGTAACCGAGGAGACACCATGGCGCGAACACCTTCACCAGCGATTAGGTGCCTTGGCGCGCTCATAGTCGTCGCCATTACTGCTCGTGAGTGCAATCCTTTTTTTAATCCTTCTCTTTTATTTTTATTGCGTTGGTAGACGCGCGAGTGATTTAGCGATGACCAATTTAAAAAAAAATTGAATTATAGCAGACATTATTCATTGTCTACCTGTGGTAGGGTGGTATTTTCAATCGATAAAACAAGATTAACCAAGTTTAACTATATTCTTCATGGAGGACATTGAATTTAATGATCGAACACAGATTGTAAATGTAGAACAAGCAAGCGCCGAGCGTAATTTTCGTACATAACGAACGAGAGAAATTGTCTTTTAATATTAGCAATATCCAAAGGCGGATTTGGCCCAATTTAACATTTTCAAAAATAAAGCGTGTAATCAATGATTAATTACTAAAATAATGACTTAAAAGAAAATTCAGCAATAGCCGGATAAGTATAAAAGTCTCTCGTTACCGGTCGAGGTAATAATTGTAATAATTGCTAAGCTACTTACAGAGCTCGAAAAAAATAAAAAGCGTGCAAGAGAAAATCTACTACTAGTTTGCAGATGTATATAATGAAATGGTTTTTCGCGACACTTGGTGCACTAACGGATCTCTGCCTGTGTTTAATAAAAATGGTTTGCATTTCTCTCATTACGAGATTTTTCGTTTTCAATTAGAATCTCGCTGATTGAGTCATGAAATTTTGTAACGGACGCCGCAGTTTTCATGCGCTTGCGGATGCCTTTTTTCCGAGCTACAGGTACTTCATAATAATATGGAGTCACACTATTGCAATAAATCTTGACACGAAATGATTATTTACTTGAGAAACTTGCGCGCATCGTTGTCGGGAATAGTTATTTAGCTTTGCACTGCTGTGTCTTGATATACCTTAAGCCTTGTGTTTCATTCAGCTGCTGCTTTCTAATCGCTGGAAAAAATCTTATATATTCGAGTAGGGTTTCTATGACAGTACTTGTACTTTCATTGTTGCCACATAACATCGTCACTTTTCTTTTGCATAAAGTAGTATTTGAGTAATTTTGTCAATTACGAGAATTAGTTATCTTAACACGTGCTTTATGATCGTATATAATTTTTTTTTGCACAACTTTATGAATGATGATTTGCAGAACGCTGCTTGGACATTTTAGTTATTAGATCTCAGAGTAATATATTTATTTATTTTCCACCATCAACTTGCAGATTTATTGAATATTTTAAATAGATATTTTCAATTTTTTTGATGTTGAAAGCCAATTTATTCTCGGCAGTCAGAATTTTCATCCAATTTTTACTAAGCTTGAATATTTTAGTGTAAAGTGAAAGGTATATAAAGTAAAATCTAAAAAATAATAGTGGATCGAATTTTAATAAATAGATTATTAAAAATGCTTAAACGTTATTAATATTGTTCATTATTTTAAATGGCAGGGAATAGTTTTCTTATTTTTGTATCGTATATTCAAGATAAGTCAATTCTATATATTAAACTGAATCACATGAAATGGTTGTCACCGATTCAAATATTGAGGACTATTCAAGAAATGCCACTCTGCGCTATATCGTAGAACATAATATTTGGCGTACGATTTTATAAACTGTAAGTCGTCATCCTTAATCATAACCGAGCCACGAAATAATCTTACATCAATCCACACTTGTGTGTGTAGATACGAATCGTAGAGTCAGGAAGTGTCATACAGTAAAGCGGCGTGAAAGTCAAACAGACCATCGCAACAGTAAAGAGAGGCACAAAACCTGCATAGCGTTCTCACAAGCAGAGCAAACGCGGCAAATTAGCAACAGCAGTGGCGTGCACGCGAGTTTTAACAGTGTAGTTCAGTGTCAATGTTGCCGGTCTGTTTCACCATTCGACTTTCGCGCACATAGCTTGCACTCTACCTGTTTCTTCTGTTCGTGCCTTCCGATCAATTACACTTCCACCATAGTATTCGCGCGCGCGAGGTGTGGCTGCACTCGTGTATTTACTATTTGGTATATACACTGAGGTAAACCGATTTCTTTTGGAACAGTGGATTTTGTTATGATTTTGAGGCTGTGCTTTTTTTATAGTTATAGTGGGAGAAAGAAGAAAATCAAATTAGAACTAGAAATCACTTTTAATGTTGCTTAAAAGAGTTTGTTGAGTGCAAAATTTCTATGAGTAAACTCATCAGTACAGCGACATAAATAAAGTAGTCTCATACATCATTTTTAATATTGAATATATCGATAAAAAAGTTTTTTGTGTACATTAAATCTTCTATTTGCACTAATTCTAATTTTGCAAACGGAAAAAAAAATTAATTGAAAACGAGCAGCAATAAAAGTCGAACAATATAAAAAATTATTTCATCGTCCAAAAAAGGAAAACCGTCCGTTATTCATCATCTCTTACGCGATCCTCGCAGTCGACACAATTTTTTTCCGAGTAAACATCTCAAACAATTCCATCGCCCTGGAGGATTTTGTCAGAGTGCACGTCCCACTTCCTCGTTTTTTCCCCTCTAGACTTAGGTCTTCGATTTTTATACTCCCGCTTGCTCTTTTTTTGCTTTTACTGCAACACAACGACTCTTATCCAAGTCACGTGTTTTGCCCCTCCCATCGCTTCAATCGTTCGATTGAACGTCCTGACAAATTGTTGCGGAAGATAAATTTCGCTGGAGAAAATCGAGGCTGCTTGAACTACTTTTTACGATACATTTGGCGTTTGCTCAGCTATCTCCGTGTGCAATAGTTTGACTGAAAAATCAATTGCAAATTTTCTTCGAAAACTCGGAATGTTGATCGTCAATCCTTACACACACACACACACACACACACACACACACACACACACACACACACACACACACACACACACACACACACACACACACACACACACACACACACACACACACATATCAGCGTTCTCATTCCCTCAATCCACTATCGAACACGAAATTCAGTTTGAAAAAAAGAAGAGACGCAAAGCCCATTAAATCTGCTGTTCGTGCGATCGTGACGCCAGAAGGAAGTAAGAGCGTGAAGGCGAACGCTCGCGCGCGCGCGTGCCGGTACATTCCACGTGCTGATTACTTTTCGCGATTATAGCCGGCGACTATATTTTTACATTTTTTTTACTTGTGGCCAAAAAGAGAAAAAGATAAAAGTCGATATGACGCCAGTAAGGTAATTAGAGGAAAGATGCTTGTGCTTAATGGCTTCCGCGGATTGCCGCAATAAAAAAGTAACGCTTTTGGCAACAATTATTTGTCTAGCTTTCGCCGGATTATATACGTTCTAATAGATCTTTTGTGCGTATTAATATAAAAAGGACGAGGTTGCGTTATCAACGCATGCGTGTAATTGAATGGAATTTAATTCAGAAGAACATATTACAATCGTACTAATAAAAAATTAATAAAAGTTACGCTTACACATCTTTCAGGAATATTTAAAATGATTATGGATTATTTGCAAACAGAAGCCCTACTGAACTTTTGGTACAAGTTGAATAATTATAATGTGCCATAAAATGCTGTTGCAGTTTGTAGTTTGACTTATACAATCGTTTTTATTAAAAAGCAAAGAATGGAAAAATAGTAAAACAAATACTAGTAAGATAACATAACCTACCGCAACAATTTATAGACCACAAAATTCTCATCTAACTCAAATCACTCATATATAATCCTTTGTGTGAGTTACAAATACTTTTGCTTTTCCTCGAAATACGCACACGTGTGCATCTAAAGCTCGAGACAAAAAAAAAAGTCACACACAAGTACATAAACGAAGGTAGAGCTTGTACAACTATATATCATCCTGGTAAACCGCATTAATTGGGTTGGGTTTCCCAACAAATAGAATACGGTGACGACAGAGTATCTCGTACTGCATGGTTTGTCTGCGGCTTGTTGTCAAGTGGATCGCCTATTGCAGAGAGAAAAAAACACCTCGATTACAACTGCATCCCGCTCTCTCTCTGCGTTTTTTTTTTCGTAATTTTATGGCGATATTTTTTGAGAGAGGAAAGTTGCTCTTTTTCGCACGATTCCAAAGAGAGAAAGTTAAAAAGTGATGGAAGATTTGAAATAGTGAAGATGTGTGGGTTGAATATACACAAATAATTAAAATTAGAAAGTTTCTTACAAACAATAAAATTTTAGTGATCTTGCATTCGATTCCTGTTACTCTAAAAAAATAATTACTCAACACCTTCAATAGTATCAACCAAAATAATAATCAGCACTTAATCATTTTCCACGCAATACTATCATTGCATAAAATAACAATATCCGCACATTGGCATTGGAACCTGTAACACAATCCTGCATTACAACACTTAGCAAGAAAGAAAAAAATACTTGTACATCTTCGCCAAAGGAAAAAAAATGTGCAGAGATTACTGATCGCAACTCATAGTAATCGAGTGTCTTCGTGTAACAGTCAAATGAGAGAGATCTTCAAGAAAGATATGTATGTATGTATACATCCGTTGCGACACTCACGCGCGCGACGCCAATTACGTCGTCGGTTGCTTTCTCCTCGGCACGAGAACTACTACTGGAAATGTCAAGGGTTCACTGACACACCATACACACTGCTATTATTGTGGTGAATGTTGCGTATTAGGTACGTTTTTTCTTTCTTTCTTTCTTTATGGTAAAAGTTGGTATTTATATTGTAATGATCTGTCTACTTTGTGTTGTCGTAAATCTTCTTTTTCACTTTTATAGAGACATTAGTACGTTTACTGAAAAATTGTGGCGATATGAATTATATAATTTTTTTAATTGTAGAACTAATAGGTCGATCAAATGAAAATTATATCTAACCAATTTCTTGTTTTTATGATCAAATAATTGAATTATATTTGCTCTTTAACCCATTAACGTCCAGCCGGACACATTTTGTACACCTTTCCTTCAGCGCTCACAGCAGCAATTGCATTTTGAGGCGAAAAAAAGTGCAATAAGTGTATTCTTATAATTCCAAATGTGAGCTTTCTGGTCGTATCATTCAAATTATCGATGAACTTCATTTTTATATTGAAAAGTGTTATTTAAAATAAAAACATTACTATTATCGAAGATAATTTTTTTTTTCCAATCGATTTTTCAAAGAGTTATCAGCTTCAAATCAACTTCGAACCGGTCTAGATCGTGGATGCTACGTCTGAATCTAAAGGGAATGGGGTGTCGAAATTAGTTTGACCAATTAGACATTTCAAAATAGCGCCCGAAGTACAAAATTTTTGCCGAAACATTCATGAATTTCTTTCTCAGAAATGAAGCACTTTTCCAAAAAATTTCTTGAAAGAAAAATTGCTTATATATGGTCAAAGAATACACCTGAAAGTTTTCGAGAAGTTACAATTAGCTTTTTTGATTTTGCAAATAGTCATTTTTTGGTAAATTGTAAACAATCTTTCGAATCATTTCGAAAAAAATTTACATGTACTTGATCTATTTTAGACACTTTTTGTGCTTAGTAATTTTTATTGTAAAGTGCTTTGTTTCCACGAAAAAAACTTCCAAAGTCTTATAATCGGATATTTAAAAAGTGATCATTGAAAATTTTTTGTCAGAAACAAAGTACTTTACGAAAAAATTATTATGTATAAAAAGTGTTTAAAATAGACCAAGAAGTGCACATAAATTTTTTTCGAAAGGATTCGGAAGATTTTTTGCAATTGACCAAAAAATGATAATTTGCAAAATCAAAAAATGTAATCGTAACTTACCAACAAATTTTAGGTGTACTCTTTGACTAAACCTAAGCAATTTTTCTTTCAAGAAATTTTTTGGTAAAGTGCTTCGTTCCCGAGAAAGAAATTCATGAATGTTTCGGCAAAACTTTTGCACTTCGGGCGCTATTTTGAAATGTCTAATTGGTCAAACTGACTTCGATACCCCATACCCTTTAGATTCAGACGTAGCATCCACGATCTAGACCGGTTCGAAGTTGATTTCAAGCTGATAACTCTTTGAAAAATCTATTGGAAAAAAAAATTATCTTCGATAATAGTGATGTTTTTATTTTAATAACACTTTTCAATATAAAAATGATGTTCATCGATAATTTGAATGGTACCAACAGAAACACTTCAAACTATAAGAATACACCTATTGGGAATTTTTTCGCCTCGAAATGCAATAGCTGTGAGCGTTGGAAGAGAGGTGTGCAAAATGTGTCCAGCTGGACGTTAATGGGTTAGAGAAACGTCGTACTCGTTTAAAGTATCAGTTTTTAACTTGGATATAATCGCTTCCAACTATGGTGCAATTTATTTTCAGTAAATACATCAAAGCTTAGTCAGCCAACTCGTATTTTTCCTTTAATTCATAATGAACCTCAACTTAAATACACACGATTTTGATAAAACTATCACGTTCATTCGTAAAACGTTGAGAATTCGTGAAGTGAGAGCATATGATCAACGATCAATCACGTGGCTACTGCTACAAACGTTTGGCTAATGATTGCGCAAGATATAATTTGCTTTATTACTTGCAGTTTTCTTCTCTTCAAATACGTAGAAAAATCTCCGGAAGTTGAACACGTATATACCCGACAATGAATTAATGAAATTAACTTGATCTTGTTTTGATTTATTCTAAGTGTGGATATATCAGTATGCTTCTGTTTTATTTTTTGCACTCGATTGCTTCTCGTTCCAGAATGCGAAATTACTTAGTCATGCGTTTTGAGTTTGATCTTGTCATGTAGCATATGTGTTTGTACGTGAACGATGAAAAATAGAAATGAGAATAAAAGTGATTTGTCATTGTATACGTTTCTTGTTGTGTAAAAGTCATTCGTGTAAATAACGGTGTATCGAATTGTTTTTAGATTGTTCAAAGGTCCGATAGATTGATGTAGATGATGAATTGCATTTCGGTAAATGAATGTTATTCAAATTATATGATCATGATGACATTGTATTTCAAATCTATTTTTATTACCGATCACAATTACAATATGCACTCTATATACATGTACGTACATAGGTGTATGTACGCGCACGCGCGCGCGCGTGTGTTGTATTTTAACGTGTAAATCAAAATTATTTAAATTAGAGTACGAAATTGGATGGCTCTGAACATCTTACATGCAACAACCGTAATAACTTAAAAACAGCTAAACTTAAGTACTCAATATGAACGGTCCTTAATAAAAAAATCAACATACGAGAGACAGAGTCGGTGCCAAATGCGAAGTGGGAATTTACGTGCGAACGCATGAATCTAGGTGTTTACCTAGATTCATGCGCAAAAAGGAAGCGAAAAAAAAACCCGCAAATAGGTGAGAGCTGCACTGATGCGAATCACTTGAGATGCGTCGTGATGTTGCTTTTTTCAACACTTTATATCATTTCTTCCGTTACGATATTGATACACGGAAAAATGTTAAGGTGTTAGACGTCTGACGGATATGACGTTATAAATTATAAAAATATTCGTATCAAATTTATAAATGTTGAAACAATTTTAATACAATGATAATTAAATTGATCGATCTAATTTTTCAGTTTAAGATATTGTACATAAAGATCCGTAGAAACCGCTACTTATAACGCTTTCTTTCAACAAGCGCGTTTTTTTATTTTTAAATGAAACCCGTGACAAGCTAACGAGTTGGAAAAGGAGGTTTCCACGCACGAGCTTAATGAACCGTTTTGGATCAGCACGTGATATATACCGTTGATGCTTGTATGTGTAGCAGTACAGTTATTGTGAATTATCATGAAAATTCATTGATTTTGTTGCATGTTTTTTCCTATTGATCGTTTATTCGATTGACGACTCGCTTTTCGCCAATTAATAACGACTTGATGATAAATTGAAAATTGTTGTATAGAACCTCGTCAGTGACGATTCCATTTGGTTCGAAGGCCTTTGAAATGTCGATTTTAATGATAACGAAGTCGATAGGGGATTTGGATATAACGAGAATAATTCACTTCTGTAGATATACAAACTACATGCACGCATTTGATATAATCTGGGCTCCAGGAAGTTATAAACCGAGTAACAGGCTGCATCGACCTGCGAATAGTATTTGACATTTTTTCTGCCGCCACACTTTGCAATTAATCTTGCTAATAACTTTAGTCTTTAAGATTTGATATTTCTGAACGGTAAAATATTGGAACTAAAATTTGAACATAAATTTTTCCGCCAAAACTATTTTCATCAGACTTTGTAACGATTTATGGAAGCTATGACTGCTGTATACCACCAAAAATTTATCCATTTATCATCCAAATAACGAAAAAGAAAGAAAATAATAGATTTGTACGCAAAAGCCACATATATAAAAAGAAGAAAAATCAGAAAGCCACTCGCAACGGATTCCGTATTCTTTGCTCGTAATCTACTTATTCGCTGATCCTTAATCCCAAGAACTCTCGACGACGATATTCTTCTCTCATTTCTCATTCGGTCTGCACGCAGCGTCTTCACATACATCACCAACGACAACGACGTCATCCTTCGCTCGTCGCCTTAACGATCAATTGAATCGCAGAATCCTCTCTCTTTCTCTCTCTCTCTCTCTCTCTCTCTCTCTCTCTCTCTCTTCGTAGTTTTGCATGAAATAAATGTTATCTCGCAGTAGGGAGAGAGCGAGATGCCGTTAGATTGCGCCATGCTGCAATGCGTACACCATGGACCAATTTCCCCTTACTCTCGCGAGTATTATATATCACGTGCCAGTCGAATTTATGGGCTACTAGTTTGCTGGTGCACATACATTCTGCAAGAGGCCTTCACCTTAATTATTCGTATATTGATGCCTCGTACCGTCAGTTGGTCCTACTTTTTGATCTTATAATGAAGACTACTTACTTGCCTATATCTTATACGAATTACGATAGTGCAGTGATATATGTTTACTACTCATACATATAACGAATTTCGAATCTGTCTATAACTTACATTACTTTACTGATTTGGAAATAAAACGATCATTTAATTGATGGATTACTGAGTTTGATGATCGAGTGATAATATTTTTTTGACAGTATAATTGAAAAGGAAAGCTTCTGATATTTTTTACTTTAAAATATTTTATTAGTATTCATTGTTGATGAGATTAATTATATCTTAATAGAATATTGTACAACGGTTATTTTTAAAACTGATTTATATAATCTTCCAAGTTAACAAAATAAACTATCAAAACGTTGAGGTTTACACCAAGTCGAAGAGAGTTTTCAATGTACTGATTATCTTAAAATAAAATCTTGAAAAATGTGAATGATAAACTCTGTAAATCTCTGTAAACATAAACTCAATCTCGTAGGTCATTCACATTCGTTTATGACAAACAATCTATCTCGCTAACTCAAAAATATTACGTGAAACGTAAGATGTTGTACGTCGATAACCTCGCAAGCAAGAAAAAAATACATGCATAGACATTAAATACAAAGAATCTCGTCTTAATTGCAGAACAATGCAACGCTCAGTACTACGGGAAACTCATCGGCAAGTTATCATCGTTTCATCACGGCGTTAGTGGCGAAGTTTACGCCGTGGACGCAAGGACGCTGTTCATCAAAGACTTCAACTACGATGGCGAGGCACCAGGTTCGTATAAACAACACTCTCCACGCAAACTAAGCTTATTGTTTGGTGGCTTTATGTAGCGGGTTATTAGTCAAACTTAGACTAGTTATACGCCTATTAATATATTAGTTTTTGAGATTCACCTATAATTGATGTTGCGGCTATTGCATCTTGAATGTTAGATTTTGTTAAACATTTAAAGATTGTTTAGAATCAAACTGATTTACGACTTATAAAACTTCGCAAATCGATTTAACACATTTAATTTTCTCACATGTGACATAGTTATGTTCAACCGATAATTACTTGGGGAATTGCTTTAACGATTACGATTTAAATTGCCTGTTATTCATATTTGTAATAATTAGCTTTTCATCACTCATGACTCAACTGATAAAAATAGTTTTCCATTAGTACGTACATCAAACATTAAAAAAAAACTGTTTATATGTTGAATTGAAACAAAAACGGGAATTTCCACAAAAAGTGCAACGTAGCCATAGATAGACGATAAAATCAAAACTTTCGAGAGCCAAGCCTTTTAGGCTGTTATATACGTATATAAGAGAGGAACGTTAAAGGAAAAGGTGATCGTGTGGACTTTCGCTCGTGCGCGCTGTTGTTGGGCTATTATCCAAAGAAGCTGTCGCAGGTGCGAGACTTAGAAAGTACAACACACACACAGTAGTGCAACATACATAATGGCGAGTCAGTTTTCCCATTCGGCTGCTGCTGCTTGTTTATCTTGTATACAGAGAGTGCACTACCTGCGATGATTTTTTACGAGGTCGACGCGAATCTAGTATAGAAATAATGCATGGAAAACGCGCGCGCACGTTTCACTTGGAGCAAGTAAAACAAAGTATGAGTTCTATTAGAAGTTGGGAGAGTTTGTTTTTTCAAGACGATAATTATCATGAAGAAAGTTTTACCGAAAATCAAGGAAATAAAAATGACAAATATTGCATCGTCGAAACGTTTTGTTCGCAACATATGATTTAGAGATATTATCCTTCATAATTACAAATGAGTGAATATTTACATATAAATTGCTGTAATGTATACAATGGATAGAAAATTGAAACTTGTTGAACGTAAACATGAATATACCATAAAAATAAATCTTTCTGTAGCTGCCTGGTTCTTCGCCGGCAACTCGAAAACCGTTGGTGTCAATGGCTTCAAACTTCGGGATGAACAAGGAACGTACGTATTACATAAGAAACGTAACATTAGCTAATAAGCATCGCAAAACACATGAATAAAAAAATCCTTGCAATCAATCCATAGATTAAATCCTTTGAAGCGATACAGGAAAAAAGACGTAACGCTAACACTGCCAGAGGGTAAAACACTCAGCAATATCAAATGGTTCTCCGTATGGTGCGAAGAATTTGCCGTAAGTATCAGTTAAAAAAAGTATTAAACGAGACAGAGATGGGTAATTGAGCGTTCGTATAAGCTTATCTCAGCTTGCAAGGCTATATAACAAGGTGCGCATCTGGTACTCATAAAGCCAGCAGTGGGTAGTAGGATTATGTGCGTGGTGCTCGCATAACGAAGTGGACGTTAAAAGCACTGAATTATATTATCGCTCAAAAGTTTTTAAGCTCGAGTGCTCTTTATATGGACTGCGAAAATCACGCCCTTTTGCCAGCGCGAGAGCGACATTGAAAATGACGCCTTTGTTGCGGCTTCATTATTAGACTTGTTTCGAGCGTGCGCGTGCGCCTTGGCTATTAAAGTGCACACAGCGTTTAATGAGAACTAACTTTGGTTCTCCGGCTACGTGCCGAGAAAGTTAAGTATTAAATATGACAATGATGTTAATGCTTATCGTTTCAAATATAGTATTTCGTCGTGGTTCGCACTTTAAAAATTGAAAAGTCTTATTATTTCACGAATGCGACGGACAACGCGTAACCTTAACTGCTGTCTTTCGGAAATATTAATAATTACATGAGATGACAGTTGTATACATTCGCGAGCTCGATCGTAAATTTTTCATACCTGTCTTTCTTCAGGGCATCATTTTATGAGATTGGTCAAATTTTTGTTCAGATCAATTTCGGCGACGTGAAGATTCCACGTAACTTTGAGCATCCCAGACCACAAAAGTTAGCCGGACTTGCTGGCGTTCACGGTGTAAGCTCAGAGCCAGTGGTTGTCGTCGACGCGCAAACGCTTCTCCTGCCAAGTTTCAGCTACGACGGCGAGGCGCCAGGTATATACTATAGGCAACAACAACGCCCACCCCAATGAAGAAATCATTTATATGTATTTACACTTAATCTTCGTTATATTTTTTTATTTCATTTCTCCATTATTTCTTCTAAAATTATTGTTAGTGTGATCAAAATAATAAATTGTTATTATTTTTGTATTATCGATGACTGATGGATTAAGTATTTGATTGAAATTTCTTTATTGAAAAAAGGATAGAGACGTTCTATAACAGTTGCACGTTACCGTTTAATCATATTGTACAAATACACATTCTTTCTTACTTATAAAAGATGACATACTACTTGAAAAAAAGAGAGAATAAAGATTTTTTGTGCCAAAAAATTTTTACAGTGCTCCCTGTATACCCTTGTAGTGTATTTTAGTCCTAGATATAAAAGGTAATCCCTAATTAATACAAAATCAGCCTATAGAGAGCTTTGTTAATAACATGTGTCATCTCCAGGAAAAAATTTTAAGGGACAAAAATTGTTCAATACCCGAAATATAACTGTAGCTTCTACTTTGTTTTTTAATGGACGGTTTGAAAAACTGAATTTAAATTGTATTCTACTTCATTCTTATTTTAATTTTACACGATTATAATGAATTGTTAATTCATTAATTACGACGTTTATTTTCTACTCCTATACTACCTTTTTGTGTTCATCGTTAATGTTTTTGTCACTTTTCTTATTTCGAATTTCAACTAAATACCAAGAAGGTTTAAATAAGATCCATTACTCGAACTGGTTTTCTATAAAAGAACTTTGAAGGAACAAACAATACACACTAACGATTGTTCTTTTTTCAATTTTTTTCACAGATGCCAAATTCTGGGTAGGATCTGGACCATCACCATCACCACAAGGTATTCGAGTGCCCGATGAGAATGGCAAAGAAGTGCCACTACGACGTTACGATCGTAAAACTATTGTTTTAACTCTACCCGGTGAATTGACGATTCATCAGCTTGGACACTTCGGCGTCTGGTGTGAAGCTTTTGCTGTTGATTTTGGACACATACAGATTCCACAAAGTCTTAATGTACCACCGTCACTTAAGATGCTAGGTGTTTCGCCACAGGTAGATTTTATTTGATGATTCATTGTTTCCTATATCGAGGGATCTATCGGAGTTGCATGAACTATTCGAACATTGGTCAATTAGAATTTATACTTTTGTTTTCAAAAACAGACGCTCTGACAGCAAAATTGTTTTACAATCAATATTTTTGTATTACATCGTATTTTTTTGATAGATTGTCTACCAACGTAACCGATATCAACTTTTATTTTAAGGAAACTTCCATAAGCTATAATGCAGTATTCTGTAAAGATTTTATCATTTAGTTTTATCAAAGCAACATCGCAAATTATACTTATATTGCTCTTACAATACGACAATTATCATCACATCATCAAAATTGTCGAAAAAAACCCATCCTCGCAACAGCGGCAACACATAGTCGCGACGACTTGTTAATAAGCCCTCGTACCTCGTGTGTAGAGGCCGAAAAACTTGACTTTGTGTTAAGTGTGTGTATGTGTGCGCGCGGCATTTCCATTTCAGGCTTTCCTCTTATCGGCGTCAAAGCGCTCAAGCACGGAAATGGGGAGAAATGGGAAAGAACGAGAAATCACGGAAAGCAAACAGATTGCGAATTGTTGTTTTGTCAGGCGACGCCGGTGTCAGGCAGCAGCTCTTTACCTGTGTGAAAGGATGGCCAAAAGATTGTGTGGGAGCTCTTTTTCTCGTGTGATGATATAAGACGTTTGGTCAATTGACAAAGCTAAGAGTTTGGCTTGGAAATTTAATTGTAATTCAGTTTACTGTTTGTAATTAACAAGGTAGTTAAAGTTTGATATTTTTTTCCGATTTTTTTCTACCGCAATTCAATCTTGGTAATCCCTTAGAAATATCAACTAGAAACCGTTATAAAAAATAGTGTGTATGGATATTCCTCAGTGTAATATTTTTATCGAAGGATTTTTTTGCATACCTCACGAGCAGCAGCAGCAGCAGCAGCAGCAGAAGCAGTGAATACGTCACTGGAAATTCCAATACTCCTGCGTTGCAAACTAAATTTCCGGTAGCCGTCGTGCAACGAAAAATTTCAATACTCTACGGACGTCCAAACGTTACACAGATACACACGCGCACGCGCACACACAGACGGCCAACTGTAAAACTTTTGGCAAGAGTTTAGAACTAGACAAACAGATATGGCGAGCTGAATCGTCGAAAAGGCTATTCTTAATATTCTTCTGAATGACTTATATTTATATGACAAACATTTAATTTTTGTAAATTAATATACTTATTAACTTCTCTTTCAGTTATACAAGTATTAGAACCAATACATTAAAGTCGCAATCTGACAAACTAATTCGAAAATTAGAAATTTTATGAGTATGTGCCTGATAGATCAAATTGCCAAGCATCTATAAGTTTATTACCCATGAAGCGTGGAAATGCGCATGTGCTCATGAGATTTTTCTCGCGCTTGAGCTCTCGTAAATTACGGAGTAAACCACTGGAGAAGGCGCGTCGATTTCACTCGATTATTTACTATGTTTCTTATATCTGTGTTCTTTTTATTTATTTACTTTTTTTTTTGAGCGAGTAGAACCATATTTATTACGACTTTTGAGGCGTAAAATTCGAAATCACTTTCTTTTTTGAAATCTTTATTTTTTAGTTTACTTGCGTATAAATGTGGGGTCTAATGAATGGTTGCACTCGACTGCAAATTATACTTTAGTAATCTTCAGCTTGGAGAAATATCAAGTGGTCCAACTAAAATGATTAAGGTCTTCGTAGATTATCTATTATTTTTTAATTTTTAATTTTGAAATACAGTTCTGCAGAAATTACATATGACGAAACGTTGAAAAGCTTCTTAGTATATAGATAGAACAGAAAATGTTCAAGTACAAAAAAAGAGTCCAGCGTCTAATACTAACATGCAGTGCCAAGATATGCTCAGTCATAAGACCCATCAAGCCCTAGCGACCAGAAAATATTAAAAAATCAAGAGCGTGCGAGCCAAAAAAATGGCCTAGACATGAGATCGTATCACTCGGCAAAAAGCGGTTCTCCTCCACATGGTCACCTACACATTCAACAACTAAACCATGGCCCTACATGTGCTTGATGTTGCAGAATGGGCGCGTGAACCTGGTGGAGATCTTGACACCCAACAGCAACAACAACGTCGAGACAACACGTAACCGCGCTCAAGAATCCACACAGCAACTACACGCTCGTCAATTCTTGCAACAATACGATCTACGACCAACCACGTATCGACCTGTATTACAACGTCGTACCGAGGCACCGACTGTACAAGTTATACCAGCTTTGGATTATCAACCACAACAATGGTACACCGCCGATGGTTTTGTTACAAGATTACATCAATTACGTGCTAATGTACAGGACGACGGTGAACTTGTGGGTCATGTAGCTCCTTCAGCACAAAGAAGATTTCACGGTGGATTGATCAAACCAGCACAGGCGCATGCTAGATTCCAACAGATTCAGGATGGCCACAGACTCGAGGCTTATCACGTGCAGTATTAAGATATTGAAAGTTCTTTCAGTGATACTTATTTCTTTTGGTGCTTTGGCTATCGTTGAAAGAAAATGAAAAGGAGAAAAAAATGTTTCTAAAAGTTATATATTAAAATACAAACTTGTCGGAAGCAGGATCAGCGTCAAAAACTTTTTAAAACTCTATTTATACGCGTAGCTTATCTTTCTTGTTAAAAACACTTTTTTACTTAAAAAACACACACGAAAGCATAATAATGTAAGCTGATCGCATCAAATGCATAAGCCAGCGAATAAAGAAAACTACGTTATTTTTTATTGAACAAAAGAGTTCAACTCGACTATCGCGAAAGTGAAATAAAAAATATTCAGTCGATATATATTTTCAGTAGCGAGGCGTGCGTCTTATCACTTGCCATGGCAATTCGTTTTCCGCCTCGAAATTTTCCGATGGCGGTTTTGGCTCGCATATATATATATATATATATATATATATATATAGCTCCACTCTAGCGCATGCGAAAACTTGCACGAAACTAAAACTCGGCCGAAGAAGAAGTATGTATGTGTGTATACATACGTGCGTACGCGCGCGCACGCGTGTGTAGACGTTTAAATTGCTTGGGAATAAGTTCTGGGGTCTAATTGCAGCTCTATCAATGGTATATGTATAAGTCAATTTTGACACGAGGGAGACAGAGACATCATTATTAACTTTATTTATTCGCAGTAATCGATAATAGTCCAAGAAATAGAAAAATAAATTTCTAGTGTTAGATGATTCCAAACTTAGCTGGAGAAAAAAAGATGATAAAAAGAAAGCATCGCATGATATTCTCTTGTATTTGATCTTGGAAGCGCATCTTTTTAATGAACATTCCACAACAGTTTTTCCAAGAGTATTAGTGCCCTAAAGTCTCTTGCTCTCCTTTAAATATATGAAATTTATCCGGCGGGGGCTCGCCCTCGCGATCTCACCGCTACAAGGTAATGAATTCTTTTATGAATCGCGTTTTTTTCTTTCTTGCTTGAGCGCTGACGAGCCGGTTTTGTCGCGAACATCGCTGCGACCTGTATGAAAGAAATCCCTTCAGTGCTCTAGTGTTTTTCCTTGGATCTTTTGTTGCACCCGAGGAAAGGATATTTGGCTAAAATTAATTGAAATTACGATAAAAGTTCTCTTCTTTTTATTTACTACTCAGATGTTAATTCCAAAATGGAAAGGATTTAACTTTGGTTATTCTTGTAAATCGTGGATTTCGGTGAAACCGACTGCGTGCGGTGAAAAATACATACTATTTTGATTTAACTGCTATTTAATCTTATACAGATTAAAAGAATTGTTTATTCTACGCGTATCGTTAAATGAAATGTTTTCTTTGTCACAGATCCGATGTAGGAATTGTGTAATCTACTTAAAAAATCTATCTTTTATTTGTTATTAGGTTTTAAATTAAACATATTACAGCCTACAAATAAAGCTTACCTTAAAGGTTATCAAGTTGAAATCAAGGTGATAACTCGTAAAATAATGAAAAAAATGCATTTCCAAAAATAAACATGAAAACAAACAAGAATATACAAAACAATCAATCATTGACAGTTGTGCAGTGAATTTAACACATCTACAATTTACAACTCGCTTCTTTTGACCATGATAACACTGCACACAGCTCCTCTCTGAGTTAAGCAAATAACGTACCGCACAGTTAGCGCCTGGCAGTTGCACCACCCGTGCAAAACCCACAGAATGTACCGCTGATTATTAATAGGATCTCTCTGGGAGCACTTGCAAAAAACTCTGCGAACTCGTGCTTTTTGCAGGGGTAGGTAAAGATAGGAGTCGGTGCATTCATCAAATGAGTTTGACCATGAACGCGACTTTCATGTGATTTTCGAGAGGGTACTCATCCACTTGTCCTTGACCTTCCTCCGACAGATCTTTTTTATACACTTGTTTCTTCCTTTTTACTGGTTTCATACTTTCATATTGCAAAAAAACTTATTTTCTCAAACATATATACATTTTGTAATAATCAATAATCAAAAGTATTATTTTTTAACGAATACTCAACGACTTGTTTTCTTCTGTATGTAGTCATATCGACATATATCAAAAATACTCTCCGTAATCCAACGTGTGCGTATAAACTATGGAAAATTCAATGTTCAAGATAAATAGGCATGTTGTCTTTCTCTTCTAGTGTGTTATAAATAGCAAGCGTAATTTTCACGCGGTCAATAAAGACCTTTGTTCCGATATTAAAACTGCATTGATTTTCCATTTATGTATTGTAACGTCTGTTTTGACATAGTTGTTTCTTTTATTCGAGAGTACATCGGACTGTCGTCGGATACCGCGCACATCCAAATGATATATAGATAACTCGGGAGAAAGGAGAAGATGATTATCTTCAGAACTGTGATAACAGAGAATCGATTATTGAGTTCACACTACGACGAAAGGGTGCGGAATTAACGGATAGCCAATGCTCGGCCAGTATTAACTTTTTTTTTGGTAGCTTTAATAACTTCTAATATGAGTTTACTCAAGTAGGTTGTAGCAATATTTTATTTCATATGTATTTTTGATACTACTTTTACATGAGTTTTACATGATTATTTTTGCACTTTGCATTGATGTATCAAGTGGTCTTTTTATATTTTTTTATTACATTATTGCACTTCTATTTTTGATTGAATAAAAGCATATGATAATAAATGTTGTTATTCATTGTTCAATTCCATTTCTGAGTGGGAACAAAACTACGTTCAGAGTAAATACGAGTATGAATATTGAGAAAATCATTTTTGCAATATTAAATACATTATTTTAATTCTTCGATTTCGGTTTCCGTGCCCATCTTTATAAATTTTTAATGAAACTTGTAAATTCAATAATCATTCCTTTTGAAGTTTCACAAATGCGCGAATACCATGTAACATTTGTAAATTTTACACTTTCAACATTTAACGCACACAAAGCAAGGTTAACTTTATTCCAAAAAAAGTAAAACAAATCATTGTTCCTATCAAAGTTCCCAATCGAGTGCACATACAAAGAGCTTGCCCTCAAACAACAATGGTTCCCTGCCTGCACGGAAAGTCCGTAATTCAAGGGTTCGAGTTTTTGGGGAGTGATTTGCGAGGCTCTTTATCTGGCTTCGTTCTGTGGGAAATCGGCGTCATTATGTCGACCACACCAATTACATAGTCGGGACTATTTACAAGTTGGTCAAATCTAATTGGCGAACTTTCGATGCAACTCCTCTTTGTGTTCAACTTTGTTTCTATCTTTTTTTCTGCTCTTTTATACTATGCATGTGTGTGTTTTTTTTCAGTCAAAGCTTAACTGCGAAGTTCTAGACGACGGACTGGCATTTGAAGTTCGATGGGCCGTCGCTGGGGACAGTATAGTCGTCCAACTTGTTGGGAAACTTGGTGAGTTTTCGCTATATACATATACATACGTATGTTCAGTTGAAGCTACGCCGAGGCAAAGTTAAACAGGTAGCATAGTATATGCGATATAAGAGAAAATTAAAAAACTCTCCTTTGATAATGAAACTTTAGAACGATACGATTGTCAATTGCGATAAAAAAAAAGAAAGAGAGAGAGAATATTTCGAATTTCCATTTGATGATCGCGAGTATACGTTCTGTTATGTGGACGTTGTTGGAACTTAGTAGCAGCTACATAACAGTCGTGAAGTTTAATCTTCGATTTTAAGAGATGCTATCTCCAATGCGCCACACACACACATACACACACAAGATAAGACTTTCGCCTGTCGTATTGATTTCTACATAGCAATTCTCTCACGAGACACTGTTATATAAGAGAAAAAAATCCACACAGTTACTAATTATCCGACAAAAAGAGTCGCCGAATGATTATTTTATGCAAGAGATTTTATTCGCTTGTTAAATTGGAAATTTTAAGACGACGATAAAGTGAAAGATGACGAAGTACACGGGGATAATTCAAGTATCCCAATGTGAGTGAGCGAGCAAGCGAGTGCTTCAACTATCCGAGCAATTATCTTGATTGGAAATATAATCGGATTACACTGTGATCCTCCCTCCTGCCTACTCGGCTTGAAAGCTCGTCCTACAAAAATGTCAAAGTATTGCCATGCAACCCGTGAGGGTTAATGTAACTTTGCTTCTGTTTTATTTTGTCAGCGTAAAAGCTCCTTTTAGTCAAGTGATATTGATTTTCTTTATTCTTTTTTTTTGTTAAAGTTGATTGTCCGTTTGAGTTGGCAAATTGAGTTTTTTATTATGTCGCAGAGTAAAAGGTCTTTTTGTCGGACAGACAACTAATTTTCAATTTGTTGGCTGAATATCATATTGTAAATTCAAAAGTAAATATAATCCGTGTAATGGTTGTCGTTCCTTTGTGAAATAACAAATATACGCAAAATAATGCCATGTCGCAAATACCCAATTGATCGCTCAACCCTCAATGAGCATCGCATGAGCTTGTTCCGCAGCAGCGGCTTTACATCCTCTCCGTACGCGAAGAAAAAAGCCGAGACTCATTCCAAATTCCAAACTTTCCCGCGCGGCGGTAAGCGATATATCGCGATGCAGAATATCATGAGGAGAAAGGTTTCGTGTTACCAGCAACCGTTATGACACTTTCACCTATATTCTCCTTAAAAACAAAAATAATAATAACAGGAGTAAGAAATAACGGCGAGGATCGATGGAAACGCTCCAATTACGTTTCGTTTGGGTAGAATATGTGAATGCGATTTAGCTACTTTAAGTTTTAGAAAGTTGAATTTACGTTTGGCGTGTGTGAGCGCATGCGCACGGACGTTTTTGTGTGTGTGTGATTGAGCCATTCTTAATTGGAAAGACTGTGAGAGAGTTTGAGAAGAGGAAAACAGAATAACAGACGCGCATAAGTATGTCTAGTTTATACACACGTCGAGATAAAATAATGATCAATAGGAATGTAAAAATTTTCAATAATTTGTGTATGAGATGCGAAAACACTTATAGTAATCGATATATTAATTTAAAATAATTAATTAAAAGTTTATTTTCATTAGAACCTTTTTTTCCATATCTTCGTTAATTAAGAATTCAATTTTACTTCCATCATAGCGAGATTTCAAACAAACTCCAAAAAATTTGCAAACTTATCTAACGCAATTTACAGGTGTGAACGAATATATGTCATTTGGTTTATCTGGCGACCCTAAGCGCAGTCAAATGGTGGGTGGCGACGTTGTAGTCGCATGGGTTGACAAGCAAACCCTTCAAGGCTATGCTATCGACTACTATCTCGATGCAAAGTCTCAGTGTTCTGGTGGACGTGGCAGCTGTCCTGATTTGAGGATCCAGGTATGTATATTTAATAAAATGAACGAGAAAGATGACTCACAATTAGGGCAATAATCCTTTTGGGCCACGTCGTTCAACAATGAAGACATATGTACGCATAGAAGTGAGTCTTGAAAGTAAACAATAACGTGTAAGGGAATTAAGTGCGCCTTTTGAGGAAAATATTCAGAAGCATCTGCACGACAGAAATTCGAAGAGGCATAAAATCAGCTTTTATTTTATTCACTTAGATCTCCCGTTGTTTATAGAATATATGGCTATTATAAATCTGTCACCGTTAAAATTTGATATGTATATCGCAAAAAACCGATTTTTACTTCGACATTGTAAAATTAAATTCTTAGTAAATATTTACTCTACGCAGGATAACTCAAACTCAGTGCGTCTATTAAACGCAGCGATGGTGAACGGATATAGTATCGTTACATATCAACGTCCTTTGAAGTCTGACGATGAATTAGACCATCAGATTTATACAAATGGCTCGCAAGCGATAATTTGGGGTGTTGGACCTTTGAATGACAAAGGCGAGGTCAGTTTCCATAGCCACTATCTCAGGGGTGACAGATTCATTGAGTTTAGTAGACCGCCTGCCTGGAATTGCCCGATCTCTGAGCTTTCGGATGAACCTCAACCTCCTCCTCTACAGCATCAACAACAGCAACAGCAGTCGCAACAACTGAATGTTGATAATAGAGACCAGGAAAGCATTGCACAGGTATATACAAATTTATTAATCAATTTTTAAGTATCCAGCAGAGAGAAAAAAGAAGTCGTGAATATTTACCGTATAAAGTCGAAAAGTGATGATATCTTAAGAATCTCTTATTGTTTTCGTGATATTTAATACTTTTTCTATTTTTCAAGTTTTTCAAACTATCAATAGTTATTATGGTATAGTTTTATTGCTATTATTGGAAATACCTACTGATTCCTTTGATAAATTCCTTTATATGATTCAAAATTGATATCAATTTCACGTAGGGGAGTAATATTTTCATATTTTTCATATTATTGATTACGACATAGAATACAACAATAAAATACGAAAAGATAACAAAGCTTGGAGCGTTATCAAATAATTTAGCAGCAATAAATCAAATCACTCACTTAGTACCAATGAAAAAAAGTTTCTCTCATCATCTGGAACCTCGGAAAGGAAAAAAACGTCATTTACTCGCGTATAGGTATCTGCCAGACTTTACTATGTAATTGTAGCAAAGTTAGTTAATAAACGAAAAAGAAAAAGAGAAAGGGAATATAACTTGAATATGCTGAAATTGTTTCTCGCTTTTAGCTGGTTGCAACAACACGGCGACCACTGAGACCACTAGCTACCCCAGCTCCAGCGCCTAAGACAGACGCTTGGGAAATACCGCCAATTCAATGCTTCGAGCCAGATGACGGTGTGTTGTACGCTCAGATGGGACCAACCGGTGGCAAACATGGTTACCCTGCTATCACCGGTATGTCGATCAACAACAAAAATCATAAACATGAAGAAATAATCATTTCAAAGGACAAAAAAATGTGGTTAAACATGTAGGTCACGTAGGCTGGGGCATCTCGTGGTACATAAATGGCCTGTTAATTCCTGAGATTCACGTAGTTCGTGGTAAGAAGTATACTTTTGTGGTAGAGGGTGGCGATAATCCTGAAGCGCCAGCACTTTACCACCCGTTCTACATTACTGACGATCCTGTGGGCGGATACCAACACAAGACACCCGAGGAACGAGCGGTAGGATATTTCCATCCCATTAATTATTCCGTGTCCACTGTCTACTTCATTATTCCGCCAGTTTCGCTTTCTATTATTTTTTTGTATTTTCAATTTCCATTCTTTCTCTGGGGACATCTTAGAAGCCGACCGGCTATGAATATTTCTACCGCGGTTTTGACCTTTTTCAAGACAATTAAACGCTTCCGCGTTAGCATTGAAACGACAAAAACGTGTTTTTGCAGAATGTGACGATTTACGCAGGAGTACGTCGTCAACGCGGTGTAGTGAGACCAACGGGCATTGGGCGTTCGTGTAACTGGACGCCAGATCAGAATCTACCACCGGCTGATGAGTTTTCATCGTTTGGCGCCTACCAACGCACGCTTACTTTGATATGCGAACCTGGCGAACCAGGTATTGTCACGTGGGTGCCAGATGAGAATACTCCAGATACCGTCTATTATCAGGTAAATGTACGCTGTCTATATATACATTACACATGCTGTATTTTTATTCCAAGACGTTATTGTGAGGATTATGTCACAGTGATAAATTTTCTACTTTTATGATTTCTCACATAATGAAACGAAAAATTCTAAGTCCAATATCGCAATGTATCAGAAAACTTTTTGCTTTTTTTAATCATAGAAAAGAATTTCGTTTTATTTCGCGCGTGATTTTTTTTCATTCTTAGTCTATTCTAAAAAAAGTTGCTGCCGAGAAATAAATTACTCAAATTTCGCATTCATTAATCGATAATACTTAGTTTACGGAAACAATTTTTTTATCTACTTCAATATTTTTTTTTTCAATTTAAGCTTATTTGTGTGTAGTAAAGTTTACTTAAAGAAAATTGGGGCGTAAATATTTCAACAATTTATGTAACACTATCGAAATATTGATGTCGAAACAAAAGCGATTTCGTGAAGAGACAATGGCTTTTGATGTTGAATGTAGCATACCACAATGTATTAAAAAAATTTATTAAGAAGAACCTAATATACTCTCATAAATAATTAAAAGAATTTTTTCATAATTATTATTTTTTCGTTTTTTGATATTAAACTCGTGTTAATTTTGATGGGGGAAATTAACTCAGCGATACTCATACAATTGATTTGAACATATAAAAGAATAACTAATTATTTGCCATAGTGTTTCACACACCGTTATCTTGGCTGGAAAATCCACGTACACGACACATGCGATGTACAGCCCCAAGGCTCAGCAAGCGAGCAACATGAGGTGAGAGTACAATCAGATCCAGAAGAATTTTCATCGTCATTAGATCTTAAACCAGAGGCAAGCATACGTGCTAGTCCAAGCAAGGTAACGCCTTCGCCGGAGTTCCTCCAGCGTCACCAGGAATACGCGGCGCAGGATTACGATTACACGCGTAATCATCACAACCACCACCATAATAAGCTAATATCAGGTCTTTATCATCACCACAATCACGGTTATCATAACTATAACCGGTTCTCATCGCCCAATCATCATCACGATCATCATTATCTAACCCATATAGCCGCGGAGGATCGACGTCGTGCACCCTATGACGCAATCGGTTACATGATACAGCGCGGGGGTATTATTAACAATAACAATCATAACAATAATAACAACCACCATAATCCATTTGAACAGGCAGCTTACTTCACTCAAGAGCAACAGCCAAGTTCGTACTTAGCTCAGGCCGACGTAAATCAGTCTAAACTAATTACAGATCAACACCATGTAGTCAGACGACCATCGGCAGTTCTCAGTGCTCCCTCTGCTGTAGCTACAGGCCAGAATTTCGTCTATTCCTTGCAGCCACCACCCCCGCAGCAAAATCAAATCATGATGCTATCCAGAAGACCAACAGTTCAAGCTCCTGCGTACTTTCAGATGCCTATAAGAAAGTCACCCATGACCTCTTCTATGACACCGTTTCAACAACCACCTCTTGTCAGACCGCCGTTCTACGAGAGAAAGAAGGCTGTATTCAAAGGTCCCATGACTTCTAGAATGCAAACACTCATTAAACCAAATTATCATCAGCAACTCTATTATCATCATCAGCCAACAAAATTTATGAAGTTTGATTTGAAACAGCAACAACAGAGAATAAAGATCGAAGCAAAAGCTACGCAGGCTGAAGCTTTGTCAGCTGAATTGCAAGCTATAATGATGCGACCAATGCCACCTGCCAGAAATACGGGTTTCGATCCATCGAGTATTGTCATTGAGAAAGGTTTCAAGCCGATTCTGAAGAGAAATCATGATTCAGATTCAAGTGCTAGTAACATCAATCAGTTTGATAGTAGAAGTGTGGAAATTATGTTACAGGATGAGGAACCTAGAGAAGCAACGACTGAGAGGTATAGTGATAACTTTGAACCAGTTTTTATTCCATCGCCACCTGATCGTAATACAGCCAAAAAACAAGCGAAGAAGAAGACTCAACTTGTAAGGACAAAATTGAAATTGGACAATAACATGGATATTGCTAATAAAGAAAAAGAACAAATGGATTACGCTTTCATGTACCTAAGGAGTCCTAAGACTGGCACATCATTGTTGATCACTGAGGAACAGAATAATTCAGCGGCAATTAACACTCCTTTGGCTAGAACGAAGAGGCACGCGCAAATAAGAAGTGAAGACTGGGACTTAACTTATCGACGTGACCATGACCCTGATACTGTAAGGCATGATAATCATGATCTTCATGGTCACAGTGAATATGATCATCGAAATCATAATATACATGAACATGAACATCATCGTAGCGAGCAAGAATTGAAATCCGCTAGCACTGGAGAAATCATTTTTGCAAACATAGAGTATATTGTCCTTACTGTCGTTTTATATTACGCGCTTTGAAAAATATGCATAGCGAGCGCATTTTCTGTTTTTTTTTGTATTCTCCTTTTTTTGTAGCTTAATGTTTATAAAAAGGAAGAATCTTGCATGTACTGACAAAAGTCATTTGGAATTTTAATATTGACTGATGTATAATGACTTTCACAAGATAATAGACTTTAAAGACCAGAAGAAAATATTTTTTCCCACGACATAAACTTTCTTAGCAGGTAAATCTTCTTAATGAATAATAATTTTTGAAGGTCAAAACTATACTCGAGATGTTTTATAACTTTAAAATTTTATTTTGTAAACTTTTATAGTTTTATACAGTAAATTATCAATCGTTTAAAGAAATAAAGCGACTTGAGTACAAAACTTTTAGTCTTATAATAGAAGAAAAAATATGTTTTAAGAGCTATATAATATTGAATAATTTTATATAATATTGACATAGTAAAAAGGAAGATTGTTAAGTTTGTAAGCTTGTCACATACACGCACATTGTAAATAGAATACAGAAGAAGTGTATTTTTTAAATAAAGTATTAAGTGATAGGACAGATATCACTAGTTGATTTGTTATTTTTCACATACTCTTACATTTCGACATTGAATTTATTTTATAGCTTCTTTTTTACCGTTGACTCTGTAACTTTTGATTTTTTGTATAATCAAAACCCTCATCCGGTGACTAAGATTGAAAAGCTGTTTCACAATCATTGCTCTGATTTCTCTCGCCCTCTATTATATTGTACGATCAAAACGAAATTGAACTTTTCTTTCATCTTACCTTGCAATCTGGAAAGAAATCATTTAATGGTGAGACATGTACAGTTTTAACTACTTTTCACACGTTGAAACTTTTCGAAAAATAGTAATATTTAGAAAAGAATTTTATAACTTCCTGTATCTTTTGACTGTTTTATTCATTGGCCACGGTGGGTAAACATGCTGTAACATATGTGACAAAGGTGGATCCGTCGGTCTCGTAGGAACATTATTGACCGAGCCCACTCTTCCTGCAGATTCGTCATCTATCTCCTTTGTAAAATCCTTATATTCTTCACTGCCACTTTTTTCATCTACGTAATCATGTATATGTTCTCTATGATGGTTTCTACGACGCTTCTTGTAATGTCTCTGACTGTTATTGTTTAAAAATAAGTTGTATATGTCTCTTTCGTATTCAGATGGAATAGCCGGCCACCGGACTAATACCACAGATGTGTTAAAGTCATAAATTACAAAATTTTCAAATTGATACGTCCAATGGTCTGGGCTTGAGTAATAATGCGAAACGTGTCTTTTTATATGCCTTTTTCTATAATTTTTCTTAATTCCAAAATTTTCAAGAAACGTTGAAAACTCATGTTCCATTTTAATTTCTTTTCTCTCTTCATCATTTTTAAATAAATTATCTATTCCCCTCAACAAACTTTGAAGTTTGTTCTGAGTTTTACGTAAAAAATTTGCCATATTTTCGTTCAATCTTTCGCCATTATTATTCTCTCTTGAATCGCTACTACACTTTAGCCTTGTCACAGCAATAAAGCAGTCTAGTTGTTTGCAAAATTCACTTCCCAAAGTAGGACAAATCACATACCTCCCATTCAGAATCAAAATGCATTCTTCTTCGTGCAATGCCTTCAGATTATCGTTAAGTTGGCCCGATGAATTTTCTGGCAAGGAATTCAACCGCGACCTTTCGTGACTCTTCTTCGCTGGTACTGCTCTTTTGATGTTCCAAGGCGAAGTAATTTGTGTTCGCCATCCTCTTTTGCTTGAGACACTACTGCAAGGAATTTCAAGCGTTTCGTTTTATAAGAGGTGTTTTCTTAGTAAGAAGATTTATTCTAATAAGCGAGAAGTTTTGATTACTGCTTTTTAAAGTTTTTGTTATGCTCGGCCATATTTTAATTTTTGGCGTGATTCAAATTTATATCATCACTATTCATTATTTATTGAATGAAGCAGTGTTTTATTTTTTTTTATTATGTTAAATTTAATTTGGAATAAGTTTATATTGCATAATTAAAGCTGGAATTTATCGGATCTTAAAAATCCAATAACAGATATATAAAAAACCTAAACCGAAAGCAATAATAATTTCAATTGTCACATTTAAACTATGAAAAATCAATGCGATATCCAAGGCTTCAATGGATCCTATTCAAGCCAATAAAACTTGAATAGAACGCGTGATAAAAACGTTTGCCTCGCAAGGAAAATGACATTCCTTCATCGCGAAGCTTTACAAGCAAGCACAAACTATAAATCATCCGAGTAACTCATTTACACATACCGAGAATGCGCGCGCGTATGTGTGCGTAAGCGCGAACCGTGAAAGATATGAAATTCCAGCTCAACATTATTTTTTTACCTCCTCTCAAGCAGCAACAGTAGTTGTAATAGTAATTGCACGATTCGACCAACTCGCATATTGATCTTCTCTAGCTCTGCAGGTGCGCCATACGACTTTATTTCTTTCGCTGCTTGCGCGATTCGTATATCGCGTACCTATTGTTCGAGCTTGTTATCGGTAATTAGTCATTAGAGTTGAGAAAAATTTCTTGAGATTTGACATAGGTATACCTTCAGTATTAATCGCTTTTCCATTAGACGTAGGAGATGTGTTACAAGTTATTGTAGAGCAATGAATACTTAAGCATTTATTAATTAATTTTCTTTGTATTTATTCCAAGGTAGCTATTAAAAAAAACTACAGGAAACAACATTTCATCTACTTTTATTATTACTTAATTAAAGTTTTTTTATAATAAGAGGAAACTAGCAAGTATTATAATTAACCATTTAAATTGTGCTTTTTATTTAAGAATGAAATATTATAATTAGTTTATTTAAAATGCATATCAATATTTTACTTCATTTATGATATCTAAAATCTGTATAGAATCTCAATTTCTAATTAATTAGTAATATTTCAATAAATAAATATGTCATTTATTTTATTTTAATATTTAATATCGCCTGAATTTATAGTCATTCAATCAAACCTTGATGATAGTAAATGAAATGTATAATAAGTAAATAGAATCAGCATATCTATATCAGGTTGGAAACGAGTTATTTAAATTTCAGCGATAGCTATGTATTTGTGTAGACGTGTACGTACTTGGAGGCGCTGGTGCATATGGACTTATGAATAAAATTATGTCAACCAAACTAACTTAGATTTTGACGAAAATCGCTTTGCAAGTGAATTTAGACTGAACCATTTGCATTCTGCTGCGAGCTAGCGTGTGTGAGAGGCAAAACTTTGTAAACCTGCATATACACATGTGCACTTGTAGCGCCAGCTGCACCAAGCCGTTTAGGGTTTTCAAAGATCAATAACCAATTTCTCAACTAGTGCAAGGTTATTAGGCTTTCAAATAGTGCCTTTACCAAAAGCAAACCAAAAAAACCGTTAGCGTTGCAAAGCGACATTAAATCAAATTAGCGTTTTATTATATGTATAAAAATGAATAATATACAACTATTTCCATAATTATGTTATTTTATTTATAGAAAAGAAAAACGTAAACCTTATCAAACAGTTTTCAGGCTATCTACTGTACAGTATCGTAGCTTCTTTTCATTAAAGATGATCTTACTTCTAATAGACGCTTTAAATACAGATCTATATGTTCTCACGTTTTTTCACATGACTCATCTTTTCATTTATAAATTAACATGTATGACATAAATATACATGCTATTGCCAAACTCACTCATGCAGCGCTTTTCGTTCGCATGTTCAAGTGAACAAAAAGGTTATCGCAAGTTAATTTGAGAAACAAAAAAGAAATATACATCTTGATAACACACTGTTTTAGGAAAGCAAAATATTTACTTATCGTATAAGTGTGTACAAACTGATTTTTTTCTTCGAAGTAAAATGCAAATCAATCGAAAAAACGCATGGCAGTTTTGTATTGTACACAAAATGAACTGAATTGTATAATAAGCATGTAAAAATGGTTAGTAATATAAATTTTCTTGTAAATATCGAAAAAATATTAATTTGTACTATTTTTATTAAAAAAAAAGTGAACATATCTGATTTGTAATAAAATTTTTATGATTTACATTGAAAGTAATTATGATTATCAAAGCGAATAACATTCGATATCAACAAAAAGGAATAAGAGTTTCGGTTTATAATGATTAGTTAGTATTTTCTAAAATCATCATTGTCATTATTGATTTTAATTATATAATATATAAATACAACAATCAAGTCATTCTAAATAAACTGTCTATTCTTGATTTGAATTTGTTTTTTCTTATTGAAGATTTCATAATCAATATGCGAAAAGCATAGATAAATTAGTTTAGAAAGTCCGAACATCGTTTAACCTTGAATAAATTAATATTCAAAAAGTATCAGTTCAAAATTGTGTTTTGATATTAAATAGTGAAGTATCAATATTAAATGTATGGAACAGCATCATAAACAACAACTTTTACATAGAACAACTTAAATTTTAGAGATTTTAGGAAAGATTCGAAAGTGATAATATATCTGCCATGTTCGAGGATTCTGACATTTCTTTGACATTACTGTCAATGCAAAAGAAAATTGACAAGCAGGTTCTGTAGCTAATAGATTTCCATCAAGTTAATACACTTTTATAAATAAAATATTGAACTTGATCTCTATAATCTTACTGAACTTTGTGTAATTGATAATACATTATAAATTTATAAATAACAAATAACATATAGTCATTTATTAATAATTTTCAAAGAAAACTAGTAGAAAATTGAACATAATTAATCTCATAAAGGTACAAATATATCTTCTAAATGATAAATAAATAAAAAAAATCGTTCAATAAAAAATAATATTTACAACAAATCCATGTAAAAGAATCTAAAAGCCACAGTTTGCAATGCCACATACGTCAGTAGAAAATAATGTAAATAGAACATACAAATTTGATCGGCAGATAACGTTTAGAGAACAGGTTGATACCAAACGATTCTTCCACTGAGACAACCGGAAACTAGAAGACAGTGAGTTGGTGAAAATTTAGTGCTAACAACGATATCCTTGTGACTATAACTTGAAGCTATCTCAACCAGTTGAGACGATTGATTATACGAAGGAACGCAGTCTGATAATTCTTGGCACTGATTTGAAAAGCCGAGTAATCTCACGCCTTTGCCGAATGGTGAACAAATCAATCTACCATCCGACGAAAAGCAAAGTTCCTTGATGTAGCCTGACCCTACGTTTGGCTCTTCAATGTAATGCGTGAGTCTCGGTACGTTTTGATAGATCTTGTGATTCCTTGGTATTGCGTACATTGTTTGCGTACCAGTCCGTGTTGACTGAGGTGGTGGGCGATCATTGCCGAGTATAACAACCTGCAAAGACAATCGAATATCTAGTATAAGTCTATCACTAAGCTATATATTAATTAAAATATATTTACCGTATGTGAACGTGGAATATTAACACCTTCCACATGATCAGCATTTTGCGCAGACCACTGTTGTTGTCCTGGTTCATTTGGAAAATCTCGTTCTCTTTCACGTCGTAGTCTAGCTTCTCGAATGGCAACCAGTGCCTCCCATACATCGTTACTATTCACGTGAAGTTCCACGTTGTCGTTCTCTACATTGTTGAAACGTACTCGGTAATTATAAGCGTAAGTTCTTCGAGCTGTTGGATAAAAAAATTGTCATCAGTTTATGAAATAATTCGAAATTACACCGTAATAAAAAAACTTACGATTACTACGATTTGGTTCTTCACGAGCGTCTTCATTATCATCAACTGTATCATCGTTGGCATAACCATCGACAGACCTAACATCGCCAGGCATCTCAACGTAAACTCCAAAATCGGCAGCTCTCGACCTACTATTCTCATCATTGCTTCTCGTTGAAGGTCTCCGCCTGTCTGGCTGTTCATGGCAATTTCCATTTAACGACGGCCTGTTTGAATGATCAACATTACTAGAATTGAAGGAACCTGATGGTGCATCTGCACGAGTGATTTCAGCACGATTTGTATTATCAATCACGAATGATGAGGTGATTCCTGAACGCGATGGTTGATGTGGCTGGTCTTGTTCTACCGTCTCCACATTAAAATCACCAAACTGTGATACTAATGGCGGTGGAATTGCATCGTCGCCATACTTTTGAAGAAACTTCTGGTTTGCAATATTTCGTTTGTTCTCTAATGTTTCTTTTGCGTTACGCAGCTGAATGTCATGGACACAGGTCCACTGAAAATGATTATTTTCAATATATTTTCTTTATCATAATTGTTTTATTGTTTTTTGATTAACGTTGCTCTATTTATGCTCCATCAGTGCTAATCAGCGACGGAGGCTTGCAATGTGTTTGAGAACAAAGCACATGAAACTTTTTTCAGTGGTGCTTGTATCAATCAGCAGGGACTGGGAATCGAACCTGGGCCTACCGGGTGCGAGTCCGTCGCCCTACCGACCTAGCCATTGCAGGCCCCAGTCTTTATCATAATAAAAAGTAATCATTCCAGTAGTTGTCGTTTCTACCTCTGATTTTTCCTGAGCACTAACATTTCTAGAAAGAGCACACCATCCATGAGGATGCACTTGCAAGCTTGATATAACTTCTGCATCATCATTTTGAGGAAAATCAGTTACAAATTCAACTCGATTGTTACTTCTTGAACTGTAAAATAAATGAGTAAAGCTAGCAGCTGCTGGAATCGTTGTCTGTGACAGCTGCATCAATCTATACATATTTGGCTGTAACCAAAAAATTGTATTGATTTCTACTACTTTAAAAAAATGCAAAATTAGAAAATGTATTTTAAAAATACAATTTTACCTTGAATCCAGACAACTCATCACTTAAAGTTCTAAGATTAAGATCATGAATGATTATAATGTAACCTGAAGTTGTACATATTAACATTTTTGTGGCATCAGGACTTAACTTTGTCCTCATTAAACCATTCGTATGAAAAATTCTATTTGATACGCAACTATTTTCTGTAAAGCTGTAGCAAATTCAAAATTTAACTATTTTGTATAAATATAAAGAAAAATTTTGAAAACTAAGCTCACTTATCAATTTCCCAAGTATATATAACACCGTCAAATCCACTGCTTACAAGTAGCCTATCCTTATGACTAAATTCAATATTCTTCACCCAGTTTGAGTGACCTTGCAATACTCTTATTTGGCATTTGAGATTTCTTGCATCCCACAGAGCTACTGTACTATCATCAGAGCATGTAGCAAACATTCGAGAATCAATAAATCTAAAACATAAAAAATAATTATAAATATTTTTTTAATATCTGATATTCTATCTGTGACATATGTTCACCTTGCTCCATTAACACAATCTTGATGAGCATCTGGAATAGTGTGAACCAATTTTCTTGTGAGAGGATCAAACATTAAGATGCTTTTCTTTTCACAAGCTGCTACCACCATTGCTCTAAGGATTTTCAAACAATAATTAAAATCTCATTTTATGCTTAAATTAATGTCAAATCTTCATTATATTACAAGTAGGATTAATTTACCCATCTGGAGAATACTCTAAATTGAAAATAGCACCTTGTGGGGCACCTTGTGGGCCATCATCTGGCTCACTGATATCCCACGATGTAATGGGTTTTACAGATGAATATAATGTTTTATGAAAGTGATCAACATGTCCCATAGGTAAACGTATACCAAGTTCTCGTTGTCGCAAATAGGTATTATTGAAAATTTTATGTTGATTGGCTCCAAATTTTATTTTAGGCATTTTATCTTACTTATTATATCAACTAATAAAATATATAAAAATTAACACCAATGGCACTGGAACTCTAACCAAGAGCCGAAGAATAACCTTAACTATAAATGATCCATTTTAAAATGCCTTGTAATATTACTGATTACATGGTTTTTGTAATCATTATTAACCTTGGTATCGAAAATAATAACAAAACTTTAGTGAGGTATTGAATAAAATATTTAGTTACTATATATTGAGGTTAAGTGTCAAGCTATCTTGCTGTAATGTTTTGATTTTGTAATTACGTCGTAAAAGACGCCGATAGAATTATTGAAGGAATTTCAGTAGTCAAAGTGAAATCGTCGCAGAAAACGAATGATCGTTTAGGTTTTCATAAAGTCTTTAATAGTTGTTTTTATATTTAAAAAAAGGTAACACGATATAATCACTCACGGCCATATTCAACTACTGATTTTGACATCCCTCTCGATATAGTATATACTTCCATTAGAGATATTGCCTATATACTTGCACTGTGCATACTTATAAACACAAAAAGGACAGTATGAAAATTTGAATTTAAAAATGTTTTTTTGCAGCTTTATGAACAAAAATTTTAAATACACAAAGTTATTAAAACTTACTTTTTACAAAATATCATTTTAATTATCTCCATTATTCAAATTTGAGAGTTTATACATTCAGTTATACTTATACACAACGTTTACACTTTATTTTTTAATAAAAAATATTTAGATAGCTATGCTATTAATTAATACTTTACGATAGAACATTGATTTGATATTTAATTTACTATCAATGTATAAACATTTCTTTCCCAACTGTGCTACATGCCAACGACGCTTTTAATTACTACTGCAGATTTCTCTTCGATTATTTCAAAACAATCTTTGATACAAAAAAAAGTCATCTCAATAAAACAATTACTCCCAAATAAATAAAATTTTTAATTTGGCTCTAACTGAGCTACGTAATATTGGCGCTAATATATATGCTGTGTATACTACTCTACCTGAACATTCATTCACAAACCACAAAGATCAAAATTCAAATAATTACTGACAATTGAGCATCGATGACACCAAACAAGGTTAGATTAGGAGCTTAATTTAACAAGTTGTGCCTCCAGAACTTACCAAACAAAAACCATTTCACGCTATCGACGTTTAATCCTTGAAAATAATTTGGATTTTGAACTTCGCGGGTCGTGAATTAATGTCCGGACAATAATATGCATTGTATACCTTGTGATCTTATCGTAGCCAATCAGCTACGAGCATTCAAGCAATGAGCACTGCTTTAACCTCAAAAAAAGGAGAAAGAGGATACGCCGGCGAGTCTCGCACCTAAAGTGGCACGGAAGAGAGAGAGAGAGAGAGAGAGAGAGAGAGAAAGAGAAAGAGAAAGAGAGAGAGAGAGACAGACAGACAGACAGACAGACAGATAGACAGACACACAGCAGACAGACAGAGAGAGACAGAAAGAGGCAGAGCGAGAGAGAGAGAGAGAGAGAGGGAAATCGTCGAGGTTCAGTGGTCCAGAGTGCAACACAGTACTCTCAGTAGTGGTAGTGTAGCGTTTATGAAGGGTACACACACGTAAAGAATTTAGTGCATCGCCGCAGACTACATACAGTTGCTTCGTTGGTCTGTCCCATACATTCACACATATAGTTTTTACTTTTTAATACGTATTACGAGAAACCAGTCATATTATATATAGTCTCGCAGAAAAATCATATTGCACGTAGTGTGCGTGCTTTCTCTCGTGTTTCGTGGTATTCTCATTTTGAACGCTTCGCGCACGGCGTTCATTACATCTTCATTTGCTTATCCTCTGTAGAAAAATTGATATCAAAGATCGTATGCTAAAAAGTAGTACTTTAAATATATATACATAAATACACGCGGCGTTGTCGTGCGTGTGCGTTACCAAAGATATCCTTGATCTTTCTGAGGAAATACGCATAAGTTAAAAACATTTCACTGTACATACCAAACGCGAAGAGAGAACGAGAGAGACAGAGAGAAGAGAAAAAAACCAAGCGCGGCGTCCTTCGCGTCGTCTCTTTGTTGCGAAGTATATTCTCTCTTTCACTCGTTCATTTGGCGTAATTAGTCGAATGCTCGTCACCGGCAAGGGACTCTGAAAATTCACGCTTGAGGCAAAAAGGTATACCATACCTTTTTTGTTTAGGTTAACGAAAAGTACCATATAACTTTCCTCGACTCTAAACAAGATAGGCTTTGCTTCACGTGGGCGTGTGATTGAAAATGTTCTCATGCTTATCATTATTTTTCGAGCATGAATTCTAACTCTTTGCTTTTGCTGCATGCTTGTTAAATTCTCTTTTACTCACGCTTGAGTCTTAATTTGAGAATCCCGACTGTTTCTCGGGTTACTTTGTCAGCATTCTGTTACCGCCATTGTTGAAAACGTTTAACGTATTACGTTTTTCTTATATTCTAATAATTGTCACCGCGAAATGTTATTTTTTTTCGTTTGAATAATTAAATTCCAATAATAAATAAAAGATGGTTTATAATTAATCTGTAATCGGTAACATTTTCAACCTTGTTTGTTTGGCATAGCTGTGTATGGCCTCTGTGCTTTCATTTTCTGCCATTGACTTTCATGGCATCTAAAAGATTTGACAGAGAACTCTTGCTCTAACAATAGTATAAACTTGGCAAAGCATAAGACTCTATTACTTCTAATTCAAGTATCTATGCAATTACAAATTTTTTTTAGAAAAGATCATAAACAACACGCTCACTTTCTGAAGTTTCTAACAAACGGTATAAAAATATCTAAAGAACAATCTCATTTAGAAGATTAAAAAAGTATATATAACAGCTTAAGATACACGCTAACCATGGGTAAACCATCAAAGAACTCTGGGGGCGATGAGAGAATATATGATCGGAGATATAGAGCATCAAGCAATTCAAAAGCTTCAACTGAAAAACAGGGGGAAGCAGAAAGTCCAAACAGGTTTGTCATCTTCATTTGTCAAAGAGTCCATAAAGAAGTATCTACAGTTTCTGAAGTACTTTGTTTTTTGTTTTCTTTACTTGTTAAAATAAATTGATTTGAGAATGTAGCTTGGTAATATTGAAATATGTTTCTCAATTATACACAATTTGAAAGAAACTGTTGATGATATTCATAGATTATTTTATTTTTGGAATTGGTTGTTATGTATAGTCAATATACAAGAAGATCAACAGCAAACATCAAAGTGTAATCATAATCTTTATTCTGCATGTTGCTAAAAAGTACAAAGGAAAAAAATAAAAACTAAGATTTTTATTAAATTTGTGATATTTTTCAAAAAGTACTTTGTAATTTAAAAAAATATATAGTTAAAAATTATTATTGGTTAAAGCATGAGTCATACTTTGAAAACATGGGAGTTTAGTTTTTTTTCTCTAATATATGTGTAATCAATCATTGCCTCTCATCACCTCCAGCATTCTGGCTTGCAGGGCTTCTCATTCATTTTTCTTATCATTGTATTCTTTGTATTAATCATTATTTTAATCTATTTGTATTTCAGATCAAAGCAAGCTAGTGCTGTCTTGAAGCTAAATGCAGGTGTAATAAAAATTAAGGTAAATTAAGGTTTGCTTGTTCTATAATAATTTTTAATGAAAGTATACAACTTTCATTAAATTATAAAATATGAATCTTTTTTTAAATTACTTTAACACTACTCTTTTCATATTTTGATATATTTATTCTGTAGTTGATGTTCAAAAATATCATAATTAACCTGTATGTTATTATTTATTAACAGAGTAAGTTTTATTGTAAAACTGATATTTTTCAGAATATATGAAAAAGTTACATCTAAATGGACTTGAATAATAATTTTATGCAACTGAAATATCTAAAAATTGTTTATTCTGAACTTTATTCTTTAATGTCATTAATCAATAAAACATTATATAATGTATTAATAATTTCAAGATTTTTGAAAAACAACTTGAGAAGTCTAATTATATCAAGATATTTGCTTTTTTATTTATAATATTTACATGTTTATCATTTAAATTTATTACAATATGACACAGCAATTGTAATGTGAACAAATTTATTTTATAATTTTAAATTAGAAAAAGAAAAAATGTTCATTGTTCATGATCAGAAACCATTGAAATGCAAGTATCAAATAAAATTAAATGTTGTAGAGCAAATTACGAAGTCCAGTGAAGAGTGGGTTGGGCAACCCAACGAACCGTATAAATAGGTCCAGTATAGTCAGTGAGGACAAAGGAATCAAAAAAAGTGGTGTAGTTGTAAAAGATAAAAGTCAGATTTCTAAAATGAAACAGCAGACCGAAAATTTGGAGAAAAAAGACAAGAAAATTGATAGCACTGAACCTTCTGTACAGGTTATTGAAAATATGAAACCAATTATTGATGAAGTTATTGATAATTCATTGAATAAATATGAAAATGGTGTAAATGGTCAAGAAACTTCCAACGGAAATGGTGCAGAAAGTGTTGATATTAATGAAAAAGAAGAGGACTTCAATCTTCAATTCGAAATAGAAGAAAATGGTAAACATGAAGAAAATAAAATAAAAAATGTTTCGGATAATGTTGAACAAGAGAACAGAGAAAAAACTAAAGAGACTGTTGATGACGTTAAAGTTATTAAAGACGATTCACCATCTGATACAAATAGTTGCTCTGTAGATGTAGTAGAATCTACTACTTCTGATCCATCTGAGTCCATTGAGTCAATTAAACTAAATGAAGATGAGGATAAAAATATTGAAAGTCAAGATCTGAATGAAGATGAAAATACTGACTCAACTAAAAAATTAAAAGATATTCAAATTAAACTACATGATTGTTTGAAAGATCAAAAGGTTTGTGTTATAGTCTATTTTTTTGAAAAATAAGATAATTACCATTTTTTTCCTTATTAATGTGAATATTATTTTCAGAATGAAGAAGAGAATGATGCTGACCAGAGTGCATCCGAATATCGCCACAAAGAAGATACATTTGGAAAGACTTTGAGGACTCTGTCTGGAAGAAAATCAATAGGAAGACATATAACAATTCAGGATAGGCAGCCATCGCCAAATAGTAGTTTATTTGTTAACACGTCAAGTATTTCCGTTTCAGAAGATGGAAATGCTATGTACAAGCCCTTGTATCAACGTACTGCTCTGTCGGAGTTGCCTTCTAGCAATAATGGTACACCATTGGACAAAAAGCGAAAACTCATAGAAGAAGCCATATCTTCACCAAAAAAATCAAGGATTGAAGGAAGTAATCTATTAAACTCCTCTTTTGAATTCTTAAAATATCCATTCTCACGGAAAGCTGTTGAAGTTTCAACACCTTACAATTTTGGAGAAGTGGAAAAGACAAATATAAGCTCAAGTAAAGAAGTCAAAGCTGATGATGAATCAGGAGCCGGTCGACGGTGGTGTCTCATTATGTAAAAAAAAAGATTAGTTTGATGAAAGTATAAGGTAAGTAATAAATATAAATTTTTCAAATTATTACTAAATATCTTTACAATTCAACTTGTTTCGTAAATCGTTTAAAAAATTAATTTGATGGGTTTTTGCCATATGCAAAAATAATGGTTTTATATTAATTAGTATAAAACTATTCGTTTTTGTATTTACTATATCAAATTTATGAAAAAGAGAACAGTTTTGTAATTGAAAATATTTTGTTTCAGCTCTCGATTCTCGAAGATATATCATCTATTCTGTAAAATCTCCGGTATAAACAGAACAATCATCATTGAGATTCAACATACAATTAGCAGTTGGACCAGTATAAACCTAACCCAATTGCCAATTGCTAAATAGGTAGTAATATATTTAAAGCAAGACTCGAGGTATAATACCATGCTTAATTGACTTAAAAACGTATAGTTTTCAATTAATTTTCAGAAATGTTTAATATCTTTGTCAAAAGTTAATCTATGTAACTTTCAGTTTTGGTTTTTGATTATCAATTTAATTTTCGAAAACAAGCGTAAACTATTTTTGTATATCCAACAGTGTACTACTATTATTGTTGAAAATATCTGTGTAATTGTAATACATACACACATGAATTATAATTGTTTATAGGATTTTATTTCATGATTATAGGAAACACTTCGTTTACGTTTGTTTTACCGTATATCTTAATAAAAAATTTTATTTTAAGATTTCATGATTGTACAAGCAAAGATCCGTACCTAATTCATATAGGTATACTTATGACAAAAGTTCCGCCTTAAAATTTATTGTATATTAATGATAAAATATTATGACTTTTGCAATATTGTGTTAATTTTGTATTGTATACATTTAGAACTTGTAGAAATATCAAAATGTGTTTTTATGAGCTTTATAAATCAATAACATTAATAACTCGTATAAACGTAATGTTCCGTATAAAGTCTTGTGAACTGCACTATGTAACCATAACATTAATAATGAATCATCAGACATTTTTTTCATCAATAAACAAGAGTAGTTTATGATGTAATTGGCATCATATATAGAATTATTTTATTATTTTGTTGGTTTTATCGTCAGTGTTATCCTGTTTGACTTAATTAATAGAAACTTTACATTGTAAAAAGAGAAATGAATAATGTTTTTCACTTGTACAATCATTGAGTAATAGCGTCATGTAACTTTGCATTTCGAAATTTTGCACGAAGCAAAACATTACTTCACAACAATTGTATGGCGAAATATATTTTAATGTAATTTTTTAGCATTACTACCAATTTTGCAGTCACTTAAGCTTAGGTTTAAGTTATTGAGGCACTGCAGAATGTGAAAAACCTCAAGTGAAATATAAAAAAGACTGTATCGTTTATATGTCTATGTAAAATTGCTGTTGATTCACTTATAAATAAATTCGACTTATTCATTGTCATTTGACTTTTTAAAAAATAAATAATCTTTGAAAAATACAAAATAATGAATTTTATACTCGACGTCATTACGTATTTTTAAATGCGCAGATGACTGTAAAATGTATCTACATAATGAGAAAGCAAACATTTTATTTAAATAATACCTAACAATTGAGAGTATAAGGATTATGCGTATAGTTAGATTGTATTTTATCAAATTGTAAAATCATTAAATTATGAATGAAATAGAACAAACAGCGAACGAGATTAAATAAAGAAACAAAAATGATTTGTTTTTATAACCTTGTACATCGTCATCCGTTGGTTTGGCAGGTGAAATTTCAATAATGTATAACTCGTACTAGAAAACAAAGGGAATAGTTTGATATATTTTCTTGTGAACGTAACAACACTGATAAATAACGAAAAAAAAGGTGTAGAGAAACAAATATGCGCATTTACCAAAGTTTGCCACGAACAATATGAAATATGAAATATTTTTTTCATAAAAATGATGAATCAACTCTTCAATAGTCTCGAATTTATAATAGCCGAGAATTGAATCGACATAATTTTTATACACGTTAATCAAACTATATTACAAAGTATTAGGCAGAGAATTATTAAGGTATGTACATAGAAAGTATGAAGTTTATAATAAATTCTGAAATAAGTAAAATGCTTTTCATTTTTCTCTCATATAAATCATTTAACTTTAATTTTATTCGTCAATAATTGTTTTCGATTGTTTAAAGTGAGCACTTAACTTAAAACAGCGATAGTGTCATCGACTGGAGCTTCAGTTCTAAAATACCACGCCTGCTTAAGCTCAGATTGTTAGAAGATTGCGATAGGTGACGCTACTATTGCTTCGTACTTTCAAGGTTGTGGTACTTACACTTACACTAGATGAAACATTCAGGACTGGGCAAATCTGGAAGAGGAACTCTCTCCCAGAACAGCCCTGGAAACTTTGATGTATTGAAAATATTTAGATTTCTTTTTATTTTGTTTCGATGTTAATTCATTTAACTTAGAAAGGAAACATTTTAAATGCTACAAAGAAATTAATTGTTTCGACTTCATCCCGACAATAACACAGGTTAGCAAATTTTACATCCAAAACTAGGCTACACGTCTCCGAAGGTTTTTAGCGTGCTGAATCCAAATGCGATGTCAAAATTGCTCTATCACGTCATAATTCCGAGATATTCTAATCTAAACTTCTGAAAAACGCTGTTTTTCCAAAATATCTCGGAATCCTGATACGAAGGAGCAATTTTAAGGCTAAATTCAGATTCGGTGCAGCAAAAACCTTCGGAAACGTATATTTCTATATAGGTGTGAAATAAATGGAAAATTTGTTGATCTGTGTAATATTCTTTTAGTTCCTACTAAATTTTTACAGTTTTCTTCAGTAGAAGAAAACTACATTCTCTAAAAACTACATTACTACATTCACATCACTAATATCAAAATACAAGGAAAATGTTTATAAATGATCTTATTTTATTGCCATATGTATGCACGAAATCAAATGTTACCTTACGATTTGCTAATTTAGAGTCTGACTGTTCATACTATCATTCACATTCCGCACTACGTACCAAAGACGTGTTTACATATTCATATGCATACACTTACACATACCGCATTTCTAACTAAATTCACAGAAAATATTTCTGCAAGTGATTGCGCTAGCAAAGACAAAGCCAAAGAAAAGCCAAGCTAATTAGTGTTTGAGGGGGTGATAAACACTTTGCTTCCATCATAGAAATGTTAGGAAGCAAACAGTTGGTAGAGACGGACAAAGACGATGTGTGCAGCAGCTACACTTTGAATTGCATTTCTGGAGGTTTACCTTCAAAGGAGAATAGCAAGGGCTCGCAAGAGGATCGCTAATCAAGTCGTTGGTGGTATCTGGTATGTGGAAGCTATTGTCCTTCGGCAAGATGAGCTTTTATACAGACTGAGGTTTTTTCTAATTGATTTATATTTTACTGTCCGTGTATAGGTTGGTCGTTTGAGATACATACGTAAACTAGGAAGTCATTAAAAAATATTCAAATAAAATTGATCAGTTTTTTTTTCATCATTTTTGTTGGACGGGAGAGCATCGTCCAACTATTAACTGTACCCGGTATCCGAGGGACCACTGACTTATTAAAGATAACCTGCATCTACTTTATAAGAGCGCATTGACCATGCTAATTCAACTTTAATTAATGCATGCTCTTCGTTTATTTTTTTTATTCCATCAGATTTTTATTTTAACTTCATTTTAACAATTCATCAATACAAGTTATAACAGTAATGTTAAACGAGCACTGCAAATTTCAATTACACTCGTACATGCTCGAATAAGGATAAAAAAGAAAAAAAGATTGTTTGGTTCGTTTGGTGCTAATGAAGGGACTGTTTTTAATTTTGCAGGGATAAACGAATTATCAGGTGCAAAGATTAGAACACATGTGTATATAGCCAGATGTTTCATTTTAATCGTATTTATAACGCTGTGAAACACAATTATCGAAGTTGACCAACTATTGGATTTCCTGTAGCAATTTGGAAGCGCTGTAGGGCAATCTAAAAAAACGTAATAATTTGCTTGACGTTCATTACTTACTGCTGCCTTTTCTTACACCGTTATTGGAACTTTTATCCTTTTATTTAATGTTATTAAAGATTCCATGTAGCATGAATTAGCATACGAAAATAGAAAGCCTTGGCGACAATACGTTGTTCTGTCAATCCGCCCTATCAACGATCGTGCTTCATATTTATTCGACTTTACTCCGGAGTTGAGTCATTTTTAATACTCAGCGGACATAAAGTTTATTTGCAGCTTGGCAAGTGGCTCGTCGCTGTTTTCTTTGTTTTTATCATGTAACTTCAGAAAGCCTTTCGCCACCGCCTCGGGCACTTTATTTCTTCGACAGTCGCATAGTTATACAGATATTTTGAGGTGCTGAGGCACTTTAAAGTTTCTCCTCTCTCTCGATCTAGACTTTTTATTCGCGCCGGCGCGAGGAAGACCACCATGCGAAATTACCGTCTATGCTGTGTTGCAACTTGCTTATACTTTTCCTCCCTCTCTGGTATTTCAATCTATTTTTAACGTCTCTATTACGGTCAAATTTTGCATTTCATAATACGAATTGATTTTTTTTTGAAGGGGCCATTTATAGATAAATCTCGCAACTTGTAATTTTGCAGTTATTTTACAATTTTGTAACAGTTTTCATATTACGACAAATGTGACACATGCTTTTCCAAACTTGTTTTCTAAATAATTGAAACGTTTGATGTAATTATGTACAGTCGATATTATTCCTCTTTTTAATCATATTAGTTGTACTGTGAAGACCAAACTGGTTTTCTTTTTGAGAGCAAAGTAACAAGTAATTGAAGTACAGTATGTAACAAACTATAATAACAAAAGGCATATAAAATTAAATTCTATTTGAAAATTATATTCAATATAAATGTATTCAAAGGTTCATCAAAAGTCTGCAAAAGTTTTTAAAGTCTTCGGATTTTTCAAAAGTATTAAACTAATAGGAAATTTCGAGGTGACCAACGAAGTTTTCGTCCGAAGTCCCGAATCACATTTAAATTCTTTAAAGAAAATTACGTATATTATTCCATTCAATCGCCATTCAATTTATAAAGCAAACATGTCTAGTGAAATAATAAAAATAAATTCGACATAAAACTCATGTTATCTTCAAAAATCATAAACAAATATGTACAATTAAAAATATGAAAGAGTTCACGTAATACTAGACGTAGACCAATTCAGTGGGGAATCAATATTAAATAAGCCCGTAGAGATGCGTAAGATGAAAAAATATGCGAGGTGAAGGAATATGGTCGCAGCGCGCGTCATAATATAAAGTTGCCAGGTAGTACGCCCGAGGATATAACGCTAGAGATAGAGAGAGAGGGAGAGGAAAGGTTAATGGACCAAAGGAAGCGGCCTAAAAGAATCATCAAAGCCGACTGACGCCATGCATAAATAACACATGCAACATTTCTCTTTCTACACTGTGTGTGTGTGTGTGTGTGTGCGTACACGCGATACACAACGACGTTAATGCATTATATGGACGAGGAACACAGATGCCGCTGCCGCAGTGTCTCTTAGCTGTACACATATGATGGAGTATAGCTTTGCAGCAAACAATATCTACGAAATTTTGTATGAAAGTTTAAAATAATTTCTTCATAAGAAATTTAAAAGATTATATATAAAGAGCTTCAATTTATTAATCTTTGGTATTTTTATTTTAATATTTTAGTAGATATAAGAAAGTATAAGAAAATTTTTAAAATGAAATGTGGAAAAAAGCTGTAATTCGTATGTAAATAAATTATTTTTTCTTGAACGTAAAAAATCTTTTCCAATTAGAAAGTAGAATCTACAAAACATTTAAAATAAGCTGAACTCAGATTTACTTGCACCAACAAAAAAATTTGCTGTACTCACTTTGACTTTCAATTACACTCACATGAGGAGTACTTTGAGTAGGAAAAAAAAAGAAAAAAGTATATTTCAAGCGCAAAGGAGAGGAAAAAGATTGCGAAAAGGATTTTTGGCGAAATGAAATGAAGCCCAATTGATTTTTTAATTTTTTCATTAAGTAGCAGCCGATGAATAGAAGGTAATAAATCTAAAATTAAATCTCTTTATAGGGTTTAAAAGGGCTTATACAGTATATGCAAGAGAAAGAGTAAAAAAAGGGACAGATGACGGAGGCCGGAATTTCCCTATCAGCGTAATTAAATTAGCACCTTTTCACCGCTAATAGAAATTCCTTCGAGAGTTGCTGCTAGCGAAATGCTTTAATGAAACTACCTTCGCGAGTATTTATGGAGTCATACGCACCAGAAAAAGACAAACAAAGCGTGATTAATCTTGCGTTGATGCTCTGCGTTGCATAGCAAATACATTCTCCGTGGTGTGCGATATAAGTGTAAGAAATCAATTGATAAATTATCAGAATAGAGTGTTAAGGATCGAACACAGCAAAAAAAGGAAAGTTTTGAATTTTCAAACATATTCTTAAAATGTTTGAATTGTTCTTAAATTAAGCAATTTTTTTCCTAAGTAAATAAAAATTTTCTACTTTTAAGACCATCGTTTAAAAACTTTTTTATTGCGAGTAATTATTATAATACTTCCTATTAAATTTACCCATATACTTCTCTTTAGAATATTTCAGTGTTTATAGGATGAGATGAAACATACGTATATAAATATTTTATTTTGTAGATATCTATAACGAGTACATTGCAGAATACGTCATCATATTTGATTTTTATATTATAAAATACCATTCGTAACATTTTCCGACTGACACATATGTTTATGATTTCCAGTTACATATTTATATTATTTGCGTCTGAACTATTTTTATCTAACTCCAACTTTCAGTAAATTATTCTTTCGAATAATTTGTGAAATTTCTCTAGGGCTCGTTTTACAGTTTTTTTTCAATTATATATACAAGTGAACAATGTAAATATATGCGTGTGCTTTGCATAAACGTATGATTATGATATTTACACATGAGCGTATATGTTAAATAAGTCAAAGAAAAAGAAACAAAATACTAAAAGAAAAAATCCGTTTCCGGTTTCTAAACTATTTACAGATAATGTAGTGAACTAGAAAATCTGAAAGATGACAACCGCTTAAAGTATTTACATAAACATATCTTAAAAAAAAAATTAGATTCAATTTGTAACAACAACAATTTTATGCAAGAATGGTCCTTGACATCCTTCGCGAAGTCCAGGCCATAGAATAGCTTTGATTTTCATTCCATTGGTAGACGATCGGTGCCGCGAGTGAATTTCGGGTCTGAAATCTTGACCGTGAGCTACTTCCAATACCAACGGTGTATTGCGAGCTAAGCAAGCCCATGCTAATCGAGAACAAGCTAATGTATATTTTTTCACCTCGTTGCTGTCTCTGCGCGAACCAAAAAAATTTTTACATTGTAATTATTCAGTTTTTTTTTTTTAAATTAACTGTAAAATTTTTACCTTAAACAAGGAAAATCATACAAAGTGCGCTCAAGTTGATTTGTGACTTGATGAGCAACATCGCGAGCTCCTGATTGTGCTCCAACGGTTGCCAATTGTCTGCGTATGCAGTCTTCGAGATCCGGTGGTGCTGACGCTTGTAAATGCGTGTTACCGCCGTTGAGTATCTTCAGTGCTTCGATGCGACGCGAAGCTTGCAAAATCCCAGCTAAACGCCAGGATAACTGGAACGGAAGAGTATGGAAATTAATCGAAGAACCTCGAGAGGAATCATCAAAGACGAAAGAATCGTAGCTTGTTATCTTCGCGCGCATATGCTTCTCACGCAATATTTAGACATTGCAGAGGACGACGTAAGCTTTCATGCTTTCACATTCGCAGCCTGAGAAGAATGCTTGACGGTAAAATTTGTTATATGGCGTATGTATATCACACGCGTAGTGCATCTCGCTTTCTATGCGATTGTATATGCACTTACATTCTGAAATAACATCGATATCTTTGATGGTTTTATTTTTGCCGAGTGCCACTACCGACTTTATTACGTGTTCAATTTCTTATTTGCAGAGAGCAATTTTTAACCGAAGTCGAAAAAGTTAGTTATAATATTATTATATCTTTGATGGTATTTATCAGCAAATCTGAAAAGCCTGGATGTTTAGAAAAAAAAGTATATTCCGAACGAAATCGTCTTTGGCAGTGAAGGAAAGATCGATTCGCTAAGCTCTTGAGATATACCCAAGGCACCAATAACTAAGGTCACGTTGAATTTTACAATCGATCGTGAGAGAGAAAGAGAGAAGCAATCGCCCTGATGTACCGCCAGTCCATCTTCAATTTCTCTGAAAGCCTTCGCAAAAAAAGTTTCACCTGCTTGAAGAGATTGCAATTTTTATTGTATAACGTCTTGCTTCGCGTCATTTTGATAAGCTTCGCGAGCGCTTATTGCTTTGGAGGTTTTCTTTCGATTAGAGATGAGCGGCGAGCGGTTACGGATGCTTAACCTCGCCCGATAGATCTTGTTTCTACACGTATAGTCTTGAAATATTTTTTTCTCGTTAAATGTTTCGTACAGATATAATTGGTATTTCAGCAGAGCACAATTGGAAAGATATCGCCAAATTGAATCTTTTTCAATATATTATATGATCAATTATCTTCGAACGAATCAATTATCTTGCCACGCCATTTATATAGCAAAACGCAAATTCTCATTGAGAAAGCTAATGGATAAATGGACAAACAAAGATAGAAAGCAATCAAACAAATCGAAATTAATTGGATGAAAAAACTTCTCCGCATACATTTAAAGCTTGGTTCTAGGAGAAATGTGCTTATTCAAATGGCACATCAGCCAAGGGAAAAGTCTCGTAAAATTACATTAGAAATCTTTCCCCCGGTCGAGAGCATGGGATCAAAATAAGCCCTTTCAAATCCTCGGCCGTAGGACAGCAATCGGCTAAAGCGACACGTCCTATTTTAACCCAGTCGATTTCAGCTTTCCCGGCACTATATACTAGTTTACATACACACTGCAAAGGGTATTTTTAATGTTTGTTTATCTATCTGTATTAATCAACATGGAAATCATGTAGATATAGACCTCACCTTTCTAATTGTGAACATTTTAAAAATGAGTTCCTTGTTTCTTTAGTAAAACATTATTTATTCAAGAGGTCAAGCTATTCGAACGTCAATTTCTTTCGCACTTGACGAATAGCCTCGAAAGAACTATTTAAGTGAGTGTGTTTTTCCCATCGACTTCTTCACTCTCCAACTGTTTATTCTTTCAACGTCATTCGACAAAAAAGCAAGAAAATCAAATTGGAAAAAGTTTGTAGTGTCCATCATTAACAGAAAAACTTTTACGCAAGAAAACGTTAAAATTTGGTAATTTAATTTCTTTGGTTTCAGTATTTCTCGATAATGCGTAACGAAAAGGTACATAGCGACATTTCTGATCTGTATGCGTGATTAAAGCTGAATCATTGACGGAACAGGCTCGACAACGTTTGTGGCGTAACGATAATTGATCGTCCGAGAGCAAACGAAATTCATATCGCTTTCGTCGGCGCAATTCCAAAAAAGTTTTCATCTTGATTGCACCACTTAGTAGAAAGAAAATCAAAAACTCACTACAACAATCGAATACAATATCTTAGTCTTGAGTTCAGGTGCGTCCTTTAATGGTAGAAGCCCATTAAGTGCCTCAAGCGTGTGCTGACTTGCTTGGGTGTAAAGAGCAGCGTAACGTTCACAAAGACGTTCCGCTCCAGCATCCTGACAGCTAAGACCTTGAAGGGTTTTAAATGAGGGTTCAGGTGTAAGACTACAACTTTCATCTGTGTGATAACCGGCGCTGCTTGATGATTCTTCTCCCTCCTCCTCCTCATCGTAGTAGTAATCGCCTGATTGTGAGCCATTAGTCAGTTCCTGAGATCCAACGTTTTTTCAATATTATTTTACATCGAAACAAGTAATTAACTGCGTGCAAAATATTGAAAAGCAATAAATAATATTAACTTATAGTCTAGAAATAAGTTTATTGGTATTCGCAAGTCGTTTTCTGAACAGATATATTCCGTGCGACTTAGTGAAGTAAAGTGAAGTGTCCTCCAGTAATCCAAAAAGAATGAAAGTTGTTAAACTTTCCTGTCATCAAAGTAATATTATTTTTTCTGAACAATAAACATTTCCTTGAAAAAACGCGAGAAACTCATGTTTCCCTATTCCTGACTACACGTTTTGATATAACATTCTATGAAATATGCAGAGATAAAAAAAAAAATTAGGTCATAAATTTCCAGACAAAAATCTTTTTCTCCCTCTCAACGATCTCTCTCATTGTCAGGAAACCCGCAGTCGGCAGTTTTTCTCTTTGGATGAATCAGTGCGTGCGCGACGAGAGAGAAAGAGAAAGAAAACAAAGTCTCCTTATAAGCTTAGAGGCTGACACTCATTTCCCTGCGAAAGTTTCCGGTTAACGCGAACAATTTGCACGCGACGGACGCTTGGGGAAATCAGTGCCTCAGAATTGTCCTGCACTTGTCATTGCGAATCCATCAGCGTTTCAACGGAAAATTCATCTACCATATGTCAGCGGTGGCGTCAACGGTGGTTCGATGACGGGACTGTAGTACTATTATTACGACGTATTTCTGATGACAATGATTAATTTTCTGATTTATTAGTTGTGCTATTATAACAAGTCTTTTAAGAATGTCAGTAAACTCCAATTTTGTAACTATATTGTAGCAGACATTACACGTACTTTTATTTTGCAAACTAATTTTTTATTATTATCTAAGGAAGTCCAGCATTAAGTGCTTTACGATAATAGTTCACTGATTTTACCGAAACTATTTAAGGTAGTCAATAGGAATATAAAGAAAAAATGTACAATATATTTCAATACTTGTAAGGATCACGCCACAAGTCAAATAATTTTCAAATGCTGAACGGACGACTTTTGCTACGTGTATAATTTTCGTGCATATAAGTAGGATCACAAAAAATAGATTAAACTTCTAAGAACAACAATAATATGACGATTCTTATTCATCTTAAACTTTAAAAGGATTTCTAAAATCAAACATCTTCAATTTTATTATTTGTTGAATCAAAGGTATCATAGTAACAGCACGGCATTAAATTGTTATTAACACAGATTGTTACTATGTATTTTAAAAATAATTTCGTTCTGGTACATGAAACACAACATCTCAATTTAAAACGGCTAACTTATTGTCGCTCGTCACCTCGTAAACTCGCACGCAATTTCAGTCGCCCACAGAAAACTGATCGGTTCTACCAAAGTTCATGCGAAACAAGCGACCATTTGTAATTTAGAGTCACGCTAGGGAGCCCTTCACAATATTTTTTATTCCTCTGAGCCAAGGTAACTTCGCAAGACCGTAATCTCGTATGTAAATTTGATACGCGTATAGATACACACGAACGCTAAGGATTTTCCCGCAGCGCTAGTGCACGCTTCATTTCGTTACTACCCTGCTGATTTTCCGTCTCATGGCGTGTGTGCAAAGTTTCTGAGATGATCAAACTTTTACACTGCTAAGTTTTCAATTGACATTGTCGACCTGTGAAGTGACAGTGTATTTTGATTTTGCGGAACTTCGGCAGTTCGATTTTTCCCTTCGTTCTCACCAACTCTCACTAACTTGTGTTCAAATTTGTTCAAGCGGAAAGTTTGATAGTGTAAAAGATTACTATACTCGTCTTCGTATCACTGTCAACTATGCATAGTCAAATTCATTTTATTTACTTATAATAATGACGACTTCTGGGCAAAAGTTATAATGTTTATTTGCTTTGCACTTCCAACGGACTACAACTTCTCATTAAACTGGAAATTTGCGAATATATTTACGTGCTTATTGATTCTGAAAGTCGCAAGAGTATTAATTATTTTCTGCACACATACATCGGATATTTTAATTAAAATCTTGGTATAATTTCGCGCACTTGGCTTAAAAGTTTTAAATCTCAATCAGATTGGATTGTGGTATACCAAATAAACTTTCAATGAATAATTACCATCACCCCGATTGTAATCACTTCGAATGTATATACCAAATTCTTTTCGTTTTTTATGCGCTTCGGTATTGAATTCGTCTCTTCCTTTGATTCTCAATATGTAGTAAAATTTCAAGTCGAGCGTAAAAAAAGAGATGGCTTTGTATATAGACGTTATTACTTTTGTTTGAATTCATATTGCGTAGAGGATTTTCATTTATAGTGATAGATCATTGAATCCAAACAAAAAAGACGATCTTCTACACTAATAACTTTTGGTACTATTTTTTCATTCGTGAATTATGAACAATAGTTTAAAACTCAAAAGTTTGTAAACCTTAATAACGTAGCGTTTTTAAATCCAATTCCTTCAAAAGAATTGTGAATCATGCCAATTCTCACTCAAAAGAAACAAACAAAAAAAACAAAAGAAAAACATAAGCACATTATCAAAAACTTTGAAACAGCTCCCTCAGGTAAAACATTTCATGAACTTACCGGAGCTCCATCACTGTTCATCAGTTGGATAGCGAGAGTACATCCCCTCGAGAATTGCAACAGTTTTGCAGCGAGCGAGGTTTGATTCTTCGAATCATTGTAAGTTTTTCTCAATACACTCCACTGTCTCAATGCCTCTTTGTCTTGTTCGACGCGTGTTTTTAACTCTACTAACAATTCGTCCAATCTTGTGCCACTTGCACGTTCAAGAACGTTTAGCAAACCTTGGTTGTCAATTAAACGCTGCTGCACCTCACTGTGCTTTAATGACAGTTGACGTTGATGTGATGCTGCTTGCACACCTTGATCACCTAAGGATTAAAGATGTCTAATATAAATCAATGGTAAATAAAATATCCTTTTTTTTTCCCCTCGAATGAATAAACACGTTCGAGATAAGGAAGAATTTTTCTACAATGTAGATCTATTGTGGGTTTGAATTCAACAAAGCACATTCTTGCTTTGAAACTAGTCGATCTCTATCTATCACATAGTTCTCGTACAAAGTGGTACTTGATCGATTAGTTGATTTCAGTGTCTTACTCGTGGTACGACGTAGGTCAATAGAATTCACATCTCGTAAAAGCAGCACATCCTCTCTTCGCTTCTTCTTGGGGAAAGTCTCTTGGTCGCGGATGGAACGAAAAGACGAGAAGAATTTGAGACAACTTTATTAATTGTTTTAAAGCTGCTGACTGCTGCTTTTCTCTTTTCGAGTTTCTCGTAAAGACAATAAAGATACTTATTTACGACATTAAACGGTTTTTTATATTGAAAGTTTTCTTTTATTTTATACGCTAAGCGGATAGAAAAATTATTAAAACTTTTATGAAACAGAGAGGTATAAAATTTTACAGATCACTGAAATTTCCATCGAAAACTATCTTTTAATTCTAGTATACTTGATGTACTACTCGAATATCATTTTAAATTTTGTGTAATATACTAGTACTATTTCTACAATCACCTTAGTAATTTTTGAAGCTTTTAAAAATTTTAGTCAAATAATTTTATTTCAATATTTTTACATTTAGACAAAAAATTCATAATATGAGTTATCAAATTATTTTCACAAACTCTACACATAATTATACCTCAGTATATGTACAAATACGACTTAGTAATGTAGGAAAAGATTTATCTAGCCAAATCCCTCCTCTCCCTTCATGCATAAAATCAGTTCTATACACACCCTCGTTGTTGATTCACCTATAAGACTTTCTATCCTCATCGCTGCTGTGTACACAATCCCTTATCATATCTCTCGTCTCTTGAAACGCTACTCACCTTTGTGCAAACCCGCGTGCTTGCCGAGGCTCTCGATCTTATGAAGTGCGAGCTTGTAGGCATCGGCTCGTGTCTCCAATTCGTCTTTAAGCGCAACTGGCAACGGCACTAGATTTGACGTGGAATTGATCAGGCTGTTAATGCTATTTGACGACGAGAAACCATGATGATGATGATGATGATGATGATGATGGTCGTTGCTATTTCCATTGCTAACAGTGCTCTTGGGTTTAGCTTGGACGAGGCCGTGTTTACCTAGACCCTCGACTGCTCTTTCGAGGGCACGACGACGAGTGATCAGGGCGCTTCGGACACTTGGCGCTGCTCTATTTGAGACGCACATACATACACACGTAATAGCTATTTCGAGAGATTAGTTCGAGATACGATTGTTAGTGGAACGAAAAGTAAATATGCTGCTTGGTTTAGTGACTAGAAAATTTTATAGATTAGATAAACGACCGATTTTGAATGTTGGTTGAAAATTTGCTTCCGTCAAATATGTTCGTTGAAAAATAATCGTAATCGATTCATTAAATTGTTACTCTCCCAAAATAAATATTCAGCTTGTCAAATACTATTTAATGAGCTGAAAAAGCGGGCGATAATATGTTTGAGCGAGAAATGCATTTCGTTTATTAAACAAGTCACTCAAGAAAGCTCATCTATATACTGCACGGACTTTACATCAGTTTGCCGTAAGACCGCCACCATAAGCCCTGTAGTGATATATCTATAGAGCAATAAGAAAACTAGGTAGTAGAAGCAATCAGCAGTGGCTGTTCACCACAGCAATATCATGCATAAAACAATAGCGCAGGTGTATATATAGGAAATGCGATATCGAACCTGTTGAGAGCAGAGAGCAGCCTTGCCCAAGCCCTCAAATGAAACTGGTCATGGGCGTCACCGCTAGCTATGAGATATACAACTCGCCATAGAAGTTGCTCAAGCCTCAACACCTTGACATCGCGTATACCCAACTCGAGGAGACGAGCGTACAGAGCTTCCAGCAGTACCAGACTGTGAGGTAGCGTCTCGATTAGCAAGTCGATCGGGATGTCCGGCAGTGCGGCCTTCAACGTGTACTGCGGCAACCGCAACAGGAAACCAGCCGCCTCGCGATACTGGCGTCCCTCGTACAGACGCAGCAGCCTATACATATATCATCAGAATGGTAAATTTAGAAATAACGTAAGACCGATAGATTAATGCAGGGTATGTATGGGTGTATGTGTAGGGGATATTCTTCCAAGGATTTCATTAATAGCGAAATCGGCTTGACGTTGAATTTTTTCTTAATTATTGGTGTCATGACTTTGATTTTACTTGTAAGTTGCAACTGTCTCGAAATAATCAAGTGCTTTTGAGGCACATGCTTTTTATTATTAAAGCTTCTAAAAATAAAATGGTGCAAGCCTCATTAGTCAACACAAGCACGTGCTTTTCATAAACGTTAATCATAAATATGTATGATAAAAAATGATGATTGGTACTGAGTATTTAAAAAATTAAAAAAAAAATGTTTACTACAGTTCTAACGTTAAGGAACGGCGAGAATGACTGAGTACATTCTTGCGTGTCTATCATATGGTATGCATGTAATTGTAACGGTGCGCAGAAACAAAAAAAGAAATATTAGAAAAAGACAATATACGGTGGAGAGACAGAGTCAGAGCGAGAGAGATAGAGAGAGAGAGAGAGATAGAGAGAGAGAGAGATAGAGAGAGAACTATGAATAATAAGTTTGCAACGTATATTGCCGTTTCACGCGTTCATATACATACATCACCATGTGAAATTCCTATCATCAAAGTATACGTCGACTACCTTCTCTCAAAATAATAATAAATTCGTCCATAAACATGACAAGTAATTAATGAGTTAAGTTCGTCCGTAAATTGCAATTAATATCGTATTTCTTAATATTAGAAATCGCTTTAACAGATTAATTACATACGTAGATTTTAGATTGACATGTAAAAAGCGATTTCTCGATGTATATTTTAGTCGTACGCGTATTTTATTCGAACCGCTGCCTTCAAAAAAGATTTATCTTAACTTTCCTTCGGATTTATATAAACGAATAATCAATTCATTTAACTTAACAGATATTTCTTGTGCCTACCTTCTGAGTGCCATTCTTGGATTAGTACCCTCATCGTCGGCTATACCAACAAAGCCAACGTGAAGCTGCGATCCTGGCACCCAGACCAAACGTTGAATTGCATTCCGTGGCCTCTCCGGTCTTATACGTTCGCACGAATTCAGAGCCATCAGTTGCGTCGTTCTTCTGTTCATTTGTCCAGCTTTTTTTTTCGTGTTCGCTTATTATCTGTAACTTAAAGAATATTGCAAATGTAATTGATATGCTTTTTTTTAGAACGTAATTTGACAAATTTTCAATATCATTTATAAATACAAAAGGTTTAAGTGATTCTTTGGTTAATGACTACTAGAAAGAGTACTGTAAAAAAAACGAAACAACTTTCCACTATTGTTTGGAACATTTAACTCTTTCAAATATCATTAGTTAATGATAGTCAAGGAAAAGTATGAAACAGTATGATAGTTTGTGATATGTTTTCAAGTTCGTACATAAGTATGGTCACTTGATTGAAATATCGACCTACTTGTGTACATCTCACGAAAGGGAGAATGATAATTAACCAGAATCAAAGAAGACACTAAGAAGTCTAGAAAAATTCTGTGATTAATCTAGACCAATTTAGTGCACGAATGACAATTCAATTCACGCGAAAGAAATTGAAACATCGTTTTTCCTACTTTCAGCGCGCGATGACGGCCTACTGCTGCGGGACAATCGGACCACTTATTTTTTTCTTGCGCTTCGTTGCCACCGCGTGCAAATTCTCGGTTCTTTTCTTCATTTCTTTTTTCGTCGATGCTATTAATAAGATTTCGATTTTTTTCCTTCTTGCCTTGTATGGTACGTGCTCGTTTTTTTCTGCAGGTTCTCCCATGACTTTGCGTGTCTTTTCTAGTATTATGATTGTGTTGATGATTCTCGGGACAACAGATTTTTTTTGGTTCGATTGATGATGCGTATAATTTTAACTGTAATGTAATAAGCTTTTGATTTGCTTTCGAAGTTTTTTTTTCATTGCTTTGAAAATACTCAATCAATTACAAAATTATAAGTTTTTGAAAAGTTATTTATTTCTCAGAATTAAGTTTTTAAAATAAAGATTCAGAAGTTAAAAAACAGCTGTCACATTATTGTGGAAGTATAAAACCTTGTTGATATAGGATAGTTTTAAAATTTCGACAAATTAGATCTTACTAAACAAAAAACTGTTACTACCAGAACAGTGAACCAGTAAAGTATGTTAATTAAATTGGAAAGTTGATTGCAAATAAATTTCTTATCATACCACATATGAAAATAAAAATATGTTCGTGAACGTCACCTTATGAACAAGTTTAATAATGCATATTAGTCAAAAGTGTTAGGTATTAGAGAAAGTAAGTTTTTCAGAAATGATTTCTTTTGACAATTATATAAAGAAAAACGTTCAATCATCTTAATCTATCAATCTATTACATAAATTACAAAAATAAAAATATATTATATATATATGTATATATATGTATAAACTAAAATTATATATATATATATATATATATATATATATATATATATATATATATATAATTTTAGTTTTAATAACTTCGTTATCAAGGAAGCTAATATTTCGTAAATTAATTAATGTACCTTATCCCTAAAGTTACATGCCCTCCAATGTAAAAGAGTATATATATTTACGTAAAAAAGATACCTTAGTGGAAAAAGTCTTATTACGTTATCAAACATATTTTTTCTTAGGGGAAAATAAATGTCGACCCTGTGAGAGTGAAAATATGAAATTTTAGACTCTCCAGTCAACTTTTTTTCAAATTCGATAAATGACTAAGAAGTCGGAGAAAGGAGAGAGAGAGAGAAAGTTAGAAAGAGTGTGAAGCGTATCCGAGGTTTTTTCTTTCTTTACAAACGCACAATATATAAATCAAAAACACAAAAACACAACCGCGTTCCTATTATTCATTTTAGATCACCGATAAGAACTGTAACGCTTCAATGTATTTTTTGCTTCGCGGTCACTGATCTCGCGTAAAAAAGAAGTTTATATAGACAACAGTCTGTTCCTTTTTTTGCGATGGGAGCATTTAAACTTTCGGCATTCGTTGATACACTTTTTTAAAATGATTACCCTGGGATAGAATCTTAAAATCTTCGTTTAATGGCTTCCGCAAGATTGGTATCTATTGAATTATTCAAAATATATTAGCATACTTTACGCGCGCGAAATATACGCGAGCTGTGTTCATATTTTACGACTTATAATGTTTGAATGAGAGCGTTATTACGTAAATGTCTTTATATTACTAAATATTACTGCTGCTGTGTTTACGAATGTTACATAAGTGTGTTTATAATGTTATTTTGTTCATATTTGTTATCATAAAAGCTTGCGTTTTTTGGAAAATATATAGGTTTTGTATTCAAAGGGTTGCCATCTCTCGCGATGTATTGATATACTTAAAGTAACATGCGCTCAATTCCATGTAACATTGCCTCGTCTAGGCATATAGTTTCCTACACAGAAAACCTATTAATTATTAAAATAACTCTTATAATATCATACCAATGACTAAATTGAAAGCAAATGCGTTTCACGTCGTATCAATAGTTTTTTATAAATAGATCCATTGGCGTGAAACCGTGCATTCCCTGCTGAATTTCTATAACGTCCCACATTGTAAAGCGATGGTATGTTTCGCACATCTCGCACTTCCGTAAACTAACAAAAAACAGAATAAGGATCTTGTTGAAAAAGTCAATTTATTAAAAGCTAAAGTTTACATTAAACTTTCCCATTTGAGACCGACATCCTTCCGTCTCACACGCGCATAATCAAACAAGGTCGTACGCAATGCCAAGCATTCACACACGGTTGATGGTATTAAGGAAAAGAGGTGAGTATATTTCGTATAATATCAGACTTGAGGCATCTTTTCACGCCGTGGAAACTTAATTAAGCGTTGTATGTACCGAAACTCTCTTTCATGGGAGACAAAGACCGATTTATTTAGATTTCCAACGCAATGTTGAAAAATGTAAGTTAAAAATAATATCGCCATCATTAATTAAACGGATTACCAGGTTTATTAACATTTGATTGCGCACAGTTTAGAAAATAAAAATTCCATGTCTTTACATAAAATATACGGGAAATATAGAATATATGTGGTTTACCGTTTCTGGAAAATTGAGTTCCTGTATATAAAAACATTGTTTCTCAGCGAGTTTCAAAAATTTCTCGTTGCTATTTCGCTTCGCTGGAGCGAATAATCGTTGCTTAAAACCTGTAATATATTTATTAATTCGCATAAAAAAACCTCGTTGAATTCGTTGCAAGCTTTTGATGCCAAAAAGATGAATTCATATATAACGGAAATACACATCGCTCTATTTGTACTCGAAGTACCGTTTTTTCTACTTCGAAATCAATTACAATAAAAACAAATTGTCGAAAAAAAGAAGTAACGTTGTAACTATGCAGTTAACTGTATAACGTATGCAGTTCGCTTTACCTACTTAATTTAATTCGACAATGTAAAGATCCTTTCCACCAATTTAGCCGGTGGATAAAACGGTTGCAGAGGCACAGCTTTACGCTAATTGCCACGTGCGTGATTTTATCTTCTCTCTTGTTCTGATGTGCGACACACTAGTTAAATAAGAAAAGAAGCCTGACAGTAATTGTCCGCAAGGAATTTCCGGTCTCTCTCTCTCTCTCTCTTTCTCACTTTGTCGCAACAAAATAATCAGATCTCATTTTCCCGACTTCTTATTCTATTTTTTGTCTCTCTCTTTCACTCCTTGTTTTTTTCAACGGTCATTACAGGTTGTTTATTTTACATTTTGAAAGCTGCGACGCCTTGAGGATATTGTAATATTGTAATTAGGATGATTTTTATTATTAGAAGATGCTGAATAAAATGTTGGTGGTTCTTTTACTTTGCTGATGATAAGTTTTAATTTTATAGATTTCGGTTATTTTTAGTGCACTGTTATTTTAACTAATTTTTAGTTTAGTCTTTTCACAATAATGAAAAATATTTGGAAGATAAAAAAATTGCTTAGCATTATAATTAAAAATTATAATTTAAAATAAATTTATATATGCTTATTTAATTTCATGAATATATATTATACTATTGCAACGTATTTCTTATAAGTGATTTTACAAAAACATCATTATTATGACAGTTCCATCAGGATGAAAAGTTTGATTAACTATTTAATTTATTGTCTTAATTTACAAGACGATTGAAAAAATAAAAATACCGCTGAACCATACATAACAAAATATCTTAATGTAAGAGAGCAATTGTAAAATTAAAGAAGGCAATGAATAGGAACTATATATATATCGTACTCACCCCATTTCCATCTATTGCCCAGCTTGTCTCATCAACTTACATGTTGGTACTCTAATCCGATCGATCACTTTTATCTCCCACGAAAAAATAATCAATTGCGCACATAAAAAATAACACCGCCAAAAAGAAATATATTCAAAAAAAAACTTTGAACATCAAACGAAAAAACACCTGCATCCGTTAACGGTAAAAACGCACAGTAAAGTTGGCGCGGTTTGGCTTCCGCGTTCCTTCCCACGTACGCTCGTGGTACTTGGAGTGTACAGCGGTTTATCGCAGACACGTTCTTTGCTCGCCGCTTATCCGTCAAGAACTGTTGCACGTGCGCGGCGGCAGCGCACGTCGAAGATGTGCTCTTCCCGTATGGGTCGGAGAGAAAGCGCGCTGGCCGATGTTCTGTGTGTGTGTGTGTTTGCACGCAGAAGTTGTTGTGGAAGGATTGCGGTTTCCTCTTTTTCTTTTAAATTTTTTTGGAGAATGTATTGTTGACGGTTTGTGCACGTTTGATTTCAAATAATTTATAGGTGATACGATAGAGCATTAATTCTACATCAATAATTTAATTAGTATAATTAGGTCACATATACATACACAAACGTCCAAATTATTATAGAACGCGTTTGAAAAGTTCAAGTACACGCAGAATTATAAAGAGAAACTGCATACATCTATTGGGTTTCTTTCTTTCTCTCATTAAGTTCAATGAAACGCCAACTTAACAGACATTAATTAATTTAATAATCTGATTCGTCACTAAATGTAGACATGTTAAATAATAGAGCAAAGACTATCTTAGGAGGAACATTAAAGAAAGTTATATGCTGCGATTACAA